GTTTTCTGACTTGTAGCGCTCAGATCGTGGTAGATTGTTTATGGACAAGTATATGGCACCGTTTGAATACGTGGAGTTCAGAAACGGGCCAAACCAATCTACGTTGAGTGTGAACAACAGTGAACGGTGCTGACTCAACAAACGGCCTGCCTTCACGATCACGAAACTCCCGCCACATGTCACCGTCGTAAATGTCAAACGAGTTATCAACAATTCGTCTACGGCTCCGCCATTCCTCAATCTTTGCCTCGAATCCATGCCGCAAAAAAAGCCTCTCAATAGTCGCAGACAAGGGCTGATAGGCATACTCTTTTATAGGCACCCAAAGATTACCGACAGTTTGAACAATTCGTTGTCGCATAAACTGTTGTAGCGGATATCGTCGTTGGTGCATGTCCTTGGGCAATGAGGATCAGATGCAAGATATAGGCTGTGGCAACGAGAGCAGCACACATATTTACGCAAGTGATCGGTCAGTGCAGAGAAGCCAGTGATACGACGGAGAGTAGCAAGCGAGGTAGGGATGGAAAAGTTTGGCCGGAGATCACCAAGAAGTAGAACGTAAAAGTCGATGATGATGCATGACAAGTGCTCGGAAACGAAGTGTAATTGGAAAAGCACGAGGAAGAGAACGACAAGGACAAAGGGATGCGGATAATTATGAATTCCGGTAACAGGAGGAGGAGGGGGAGGACCAAGGTGAGTGTCTTCGGTTTATTTTTGGAAAAAAGGTTGTAAGTACCGTGTAGTTCAGAGCTCTTCTATTTGATTCAATAAAACTGCCTTTCATAAACCAACCTGCGTCAATGGCGGCTGCCTCACTATGCATTTCGCCCCCATCATTACCGAACTCAACATCAGCAGCACTTATGACAAGATCATTGTCATTTTGCTCTCCATCGGCAACTTCATCCTCAACTGCGAACACATTATCCTCGGCAGAAAAAGGGACATGAAGACTTGAAACGACGTCTACATTACATAATAACGATAAATGACTTATTCGCACATCTATTACACTAACAATATAAGTCTCATACCAGGGGAGGAAGAATCGACCACCACATCATCATCCATGTCCATATCAGTATCGTCGCCTGGCCGCAACGGTGATGGAGTTGAGCTTTGGCGCAAATTGGCTTCAATATTGGCTACAATGGCACCCACTAGTAGATATACAAGATACATTGATAAACTCAATCTTCGGGATGCGTGTAAAACAAGTACCATTGTGTGAGTAACTCTGTGAAGCACCATTTAAAACGCGCCGCTGATGATATTCGTGCGTTCTGCTTGGCACCATTTGGAAGCCAGTGTTGCTATTTGCCCTCGAGCTCACTGGACAGAAGCACGCAACTAACAATTCGTTGCGATTGAGGTCCATTGTGCCAAAAAAAAAAAAAGTGGAGATTAAGAGCAAGTCGAAGTGTCCAGTAGTAGTACAGAGCCCCTCTTATATTTTAATACATCTGTATGCTTCTACATATCTTCTACCATAACACATTATGCACTTCCTACTTTGTGTTTTTTCTATCACATGTTACACTCTCTGTAATGATACACATTTACACTAAAGAGTCGGGGATATGGTTTTTGCATAACAAGGTATAAATAATATTGGGGACCATGTCTATATTAACGTTGTAACATGCATAACTAAAACAAAGACGAATGTGTGAACCAAAAAAGCGGATGTCCTTTTACGTACGTAGTGATAAATAATATTTTGTCGATAGAGCCAACAACTGAGGCACCACGCGTACTTTCAGTAGTTCATGAATGTAATTATTATTATTCCTCGAGTCGTTTTACAAAGCAGAGAAAATGGAAGGCCAAAGAGGAGAAAGTTCATGTAAAGCATCAACACGCGTACATACATGTTGTACACACTGTATTGTCTTATGTATCGTGAACATTTCGCAGATGAACAGATTGTCGATGAGCTCTTTGCCAAGGTTGACGAATAACTGATTGAATCCAGGTGTGTTAATTGGGACATTATATATTGGCGTCAATTAACAGACTGCGCCTATAGACCCAACTTTGAAATTGGTGATCTTGAATGGTATGGTATGGTTTTGTAGTTTGGGTGAATGTATGGGAGAAAGCCAACGCGGGTCATGTTATGGTCCTTCATATTGATCACTTATACAGGAAGTTGCTGCTTTATCCGAAAGGAAACTATCAAACCTCTTTTGTCCCATGTACCTTCAATGGGAAGGGGATAGATCAAGACAAGGGCACAGCTCAGACGACAAGAAAGATAGTTATGCATGCGCTCAATTTGCGATTTGGTTATCCCATCCGCACTACTAATTATGTAAGCTATGGTAATGGATACTACTGCTCTTCAAGTTCGTTCGCTACATCGACCCCATGTATATGTGCATCTCAACTCTTATTCGCTTTATTAGCTGTTCGTCATAGGTTTACCTCAGAAGAAGACAATTGGGGTTTCTCTCGTCTCGTCAACTTTGATCGTATATATCAGCGTGATGATGAAACGAACGTGCTCCGTTACTAACACAGGGCCAAATATGGGTAAATGCTATTGTGCGCGTATTCAAGGATCCAACAAGCTTGCTGTGGCATGATTTCATTAGATAAGAGTGGATATATCGAAGCAGAAATTTGATCCTCACACTTTGCTCATTTTATATATTTCCTTTCTTTTGATGCTATAGCTATGATTCAAAAAAAAAATTGATCTCGTAGGCATGGTAAAGGCCGGATTTTCAAGATACCTCAATGTTTTATTGCAGCTAATTTTCCACACCAAAATTTTTGAATGAAGCACCCGCAGCATTCTCGCAGAACTACAACTATTTTTCTTTCATTTGCAATCCTCCCCTAAAGCAGTAGGTACTGTAAGGGAGAGAATATGTACATACCCACTTTGTCTAGCATCGCTGATTTTCCCGCGCGCCACCTCCACAGTACCGTCGTCGCTAAGTACCGTTACATGTACACCAGCTCGTCGATTTATGATGTCGTTTCTAGGCGATGTCACTTGGAGATAAACTTGCCGACTACTCCAGGCATCCAAAGCTGCATAGTGTACTTGCTCGTCAGTAAGTCGACCTTCCCAGTTGCCTTGTTGTAAATCCTTGGATAGACGATGTTGTACAATTGTTGCACACATATTGCCAGACTTTTGATCCAGTAATTAGTTTGCATTTGTACTCGTTGCATATTGTCAACAGGTCCACGACAATGGATGCTTGAAGGTCATTGAATTGTTGAGGAGAAGTTTGTGAAAGCCGAGTGATATCATTTTCGATGTTACGCCCAACCTTGATGATATCTTTGCGATTTAAGCAGCGTCCAGATAGCGTGTGGCAGATGATGATATGGATCAGCGACTATACGTGGATGAACGTCAGTACGAAGAGATTCGATTTGTGTTTCAAAAATCTGTTTATCGGCCTCGACTTTGTCAGTATGACAAAGGATTTCTCGGTGACGATGGCCATGGGCAGTAAGACTTTGTAGCATGGCTAATCGCAAAAATTAGTTTCGGTTACTGTAATGCATCAGGAAATAAGCTACAGCCACGGAAAATTTGATTTTCGTTATGTTGTAACAACTTTATCTGTACCTTAGTGTTTATGTGATCATGAGTAAACTATAGCATTTTGCACCCATAATTAACCCTCTTTGGATAATACAGGAAGAATGAGCCTATAAGAGCTAACAGTTAGGAAGAAGAAGAGGCACCTGCGTTCGTGATTTTGAAAAGCAACACTTCTCAGTATAATATATTCACTTCTTTTAATGAGATTCGTCAGCTTGAAAAGGCGGTGCCTTATCCATTTCTTCTATATCAATTGAATTGTTGTGTTGTATTGTTCAGCAGTGTAGTGGACACGTAGTATTGGATTTTTAAAGTTCAATGCCTTGGTTGTAAAAAAAATTCTTGGACCCTTTGTCAGCGGACCAACGGTGAGGCGAAAAGAGGGACGATTGAGGTTACACAAAAGAAGGGACTGGACCAAGATTTGCATTAACTTCGTTTACGGCACGTTGTACCATCGACTTTCCCACTCTTTCTTTATACACCTTCAATCTGCCTCTTTTCATATGATTAAATGATTAAAGAGTTTTGTTTTGTGATGTTTCAAAATCTTATAACAGCTTAGATATATTCATAGCGCCAACGATTATTATGGAACATGTGCTTATAGTATTTTTGCTGGCACTAGTGGATTAGTTTGTCTTACCCACTAGATGATTTGAGACTATAAACGATTATACATTTATCATTCTCGTTGATACTGTTGTCACTATCGCTTCCTCCAATATCTTCTTAAGAAACCATCAACAAAACAAGCGAGCATGGGATCCGTCTCGCATCACATCATAATGATAGTTGAAATACACATTATGAAACGAGAGATAGAGATATAATAAGGACTTCTTGTATACAATCACTTGTCTGTTCATTCGAAAGATTCAAATTGCCGTTTATTGTCGTTTGTAGCCTTTCGACACCTTAAACAACCTTCCAAGAACCTGTAAGGTCTCAAAAGGCCTAAACGGTAATCTGAGATCTTGGATGTTATAAACTGGTCTGATCAATCATAAACCGGTTTGATCAAACATAAACTGGTTTGATTTATTGTAAACGCTTATCGAATATTCTGCATAGAGTTCCGTCTGTGTTGTATGGGCTGAGTTTTCTATATAATTCAGATACACAACAATCACCCCGCCAAGACAGTATAACTTCTCTTTCTTTTGTATTTTTTCCTGTTGTGCTGTAACCTCAAACCCTCCTCCACCCCAACAAGTTAGTATGGGAAGTAACACGTCAAGGGACCTTGGCAATAATGCTTCTTCCTCTTCCTCTTCCTCGCGTCGTCAGAATGGTCGTCCAACCAAAGCAAAACAAACTACCATTCAAGAGTATGTTGATTACGGCACCACATTACCTAACGGACTTTATACAGCACAACAGGATTACAATATAAAGAATGTTCGACGACTCATTCGTGAAAGGAAGCTTTCGCCATTTTACAAAGGCAAACACCCACTCTCACCTTCTATATGCGTGCGTGTGTATACAAGTATGTATGCTAATAAATGCAATTGTACTATTTAGGTTTATCTGACCCACCCGAACCGCAGCAATCCGAAAAAGTGTCTTCCGAATTGCCACCGTCACCACCAACTTTAACAAACAGTCGACCACGGAAGAATTCTTCTTTGCAACAACAACAGCAACAGCAGATAGAAGACCAAAGAAAAAAGACACTTTACAATAACCCTGTTGAATGCCCCATTTGCTTTCTTGTGAGTGGTGTGTCGAGCATAGAGTGTGGGACGAGGTCGGGTTCTTAATTCGTGTGGTGCCATTGTTGACTTTGTTGATAGTATTATCCATCCAATATAAATCATTCACGATGCTGTGATCAACCGATATGTACCGAATGCTTTTTGCAAATCAAACGGCCCATCGAAACCCCCTCGCTACCGGCTGCATGTCCGTTTTGTATGGAAGATAACTTTGGAGTTATTTATGAAGCACCAGCGTGGAGCAGTGGCAGGGTAATTACTTGTTTTTTATTTTCTGTAATGCATATTCCAACACCTGATCACCATACTTACTGGCATTAATGTTGTATGTTATAGCCTCGCTCCCCATCATCGTCATCGCCAGCACCCACCAACAATCGACCTTCCTCCAAAGTCAGTCCTCGACATACCACGTCCGGTGTTAGTGACGGCATGATTCCACGACGCAAAAGTATCAATCATAACGATCCGGACGTTGTTCTTGTGGACCATGTTCGGCCGGATTGGCGCGAGGCACCTGTTCGTACTGGTCGGTCGCGTCATAATTCGGAATCGCGTGGCAGTAACAATGACAATGGATTCTTTCGTACTGCCTCGCCCTTGTTCACGCGTCCGGGTCGTTCGGCTTCGTCAGCTGCGCATTCAGAATATCATCATTATTTGACTGCCATGAGGGATAGGAACATGGATTTGGAAGACTATTTTGTCATGGAGGCGATCAGGATGTCGTTGGCTGATCAAGAGCAACTGCAGCAACGTCAGCGTGAGCAGGAGCAACAACAAGAGGAGAACAGGTCAGCAGAAGGAGATGGTGACGGAGGCAACGAACAGCAGCAAGAACATCAACAACAATCGCCTCCATCTACGGATAGCAACACAACCCCTCTCATCACGACAACAGCAGCCACATCCAATAACTCGTCTACGTAACTTCCTTTGAAACCTTGTACATTAAAAAACCCTCCATACGTCATTCATATCCAGCAATGACACCAACCAAGCTTTGTGAATGAGAGAAGAACTAGGAGATGCTTTTTTTGGTTCATTCTTTCATTTTCTTTTTGCTTGGCATGAAAGCCATCGACTATGTACATAAATAATAGGCTGTTGTATGTAAATTGTTTCTCTACTTTTGATTTCCTTTCTTTTGATTTTTAAATTCAATACTCTTCCCAGCCCTATTGTTTTATTTGAATTAGCACTGTGATTGTGATAAAAAAAAGATCATTTTCAAATGGTTTAAAAAAAACTTACCACAGAATCCAAGCGCTCGACCTTGCCGAGTACTTCAGTCTCCATCTTCTTCATATAAGCATCCATCTTTTCGAGGACACCGGGAATAAATGCACCAAGCATGCGGATGGCAAGGAGAGCTGCATTGGTGCTGTTGTTGATGGCAACTGTTGCCACAGGAACGCCGCGCTATATGGACCGTGCATCAATTAGCCACATTATCCATGTAAACGCCACCACATACGCCCCTCCCTTTTTATACTGTCCAGATCATGCCATTAATATAAAAACATATTTGCAACTTACAGGCATTTGGACAATGCTGTGTAAAGAATCGACGCCATCGAGCGAGCTACCCTTGACGGGCACACCGATAACTGGCAACGATGTCATGGCGGCCACCATACCAGGAAGATGTGCAGCGCCACCAGCACCAGCAATGATAGCCTTCAAGCCACGCTTGGCAGCCGACTGAGCATACTCAACCATACGCATAGGTGTACGGTGGGCAGAGACAATAGACAACTCAAATGGAATACCAAAGTCCTTCAAAATCTTGGCACCAACCTTCATGACAGGCAAGTCTGAATCCGAGCCCATGATAATGCCGACGAGAGGACGGAGCGACAAGTTGCGTTGGACATCGGGCTCCATGGCCTTCAGAATGGGCTTCAAGCGTTCTTGTGCCTGCATCATGGATTCACCTACAACAGTGATATGACCCATCTTGCGTCCAGCTCTGCATTCCTTTTTACCGTACAGGTGGATTGTGGCACCGTCAGCCAACGAAGCTTCGTGACAAGGCTTGTAGCATTCAACCATATCCGATGAGGAACCAAGGATATTGACCATGATAGAAGCGGGCACCTTCATGGCTGTGGATCCCAAAGGCATATCCAAAATGGCGCGCATGTGGTTTTCGAATTGTGAAGTGTCACAGGCCTCGATGGTGTAGTGGCCCGAGTTGTGGGGTCGTGGAGCAATTTCGTTCAACACAATTGTGCCATCTTGCATCAAGAACATTTCAACACCAAAGATACCGGCGCCAGGGAACGATTTGATGGCATTCATGGCAATCTCTTGAGCCTTGTTGAGCACCGCACCATCAGCCTGAGCAGGTGCAATCACCAGGTGACAAATGCTGTTTTTGTGGATTGTTTCGACCATGGGGTACGCACGGACCTCACCATTGGCACGACGCACAACCATCACCGCCAGCTCCTTGACAAAAGGTGCCCATTTTTCAGCATACAGAGGCAGGTTGTTCAATGCTTGCATAGCAGGCTTAATGTCAGCCTCGGATTTCACGACATAGTTGCCTTTACCGTCATAGGCCATGGTCTTGGCCTTGAGCATGAATGGATAACCAAACTGCTTGCCAGCAGCCAACACGGCATTCTCGTCAGGTGTATCCAAAGACTCGGCCACAGGAATACCGTGGGCAATCAAATGTTGCTTTTGTGCATACTTGTCCTGGATCGTCTTGACCGTCTTGGCAGAAGGATGTACTTTGACTTTACCCTCAGCCTCAATTTCACCCAACACGTCGGCATCCACATGCTCAATTTCAACAGTCAAGACATCCACCTTGCTAGCAAGTTCGCGAATCTTGGCAGCGTCCTTGAAGGCACCGTGAATGTGGTCTTGCGTCGACTCGATTTGTTTGGCAGGCGCGTCAGTGGGGGCATCGAGAATGGTCACCGATAAATTCAATCGCGAGGCAGCTTCGACCATCATACGGCCAAGTTGGCCACCTATTTTATTAAGTCTCGTTATTAATAAAAGATAACAATCTTCTTTTTTCTGCTTGTCGTATACGAAGCTTAAACTTGCCTCCAAGAATGCCGACTTTTTGGCTGTTCATTTGCTTTAAACTTTGACAGGGAAAGTGTAAGAGAGTACAAGAGTTGCAAATTTTTTTAATTTCTGGATATGAGTCAGGTTTTGCCATATCAAGCATGGTAGGGACTCCGTCGTTGTATAGATTTGATCTGCTGCATCATCTGAACAGCCCACTGATCAAACAACGATTATGCTGCTGGCTGCGATGGATTTAACTTTTACACAAAAATAATACAGCCGCTATTATGCATGGGCGTTATTTGTGATCGGATATCGTTACTCATCGTCATATGTTTTCTTTACCAACACATTTCAATTTCCAATAGCCGAAGACTGCAGGTCTAATTTTACAGACCATCTTTGATCTTGTACACAAGGCAGATGGAATAACCAGTAGCAGTTACATGTCACGCATGTGCAACTTACAGTATTAAGCTATTAAAATAATGATTCACGGTATTAGAGCGATTTTGCGATCAAGAACACTAAATAATGAATTTTTCTTTACTTCAATCATGGTCGTGTAAGGGACAGATATAATTACAAGTGTTTATTCACATCGAGTTGCCGTAAATAGTTTGCATAGGGTATTACAGTGCAAATATACCGAAGTAAAATTACAGCATAAGATATTATATATACCTCTCCATCCGTATCTTAACGAGTATGTGCATCATAAATAAAAGCAAGAGAGATAGTTTCTAAAATATACGAGAAAGAATCAACTACGATCGAGTTTCTTTCGAGTTAAATGGTCACATAGACTTAAAAGAGAGCACCAAGAGCTTTCGACTAGCAACAATAAGCACCGCACAAAGTATTTGACGCTAGCACAAATGGATGATGGTAGAGTCCGACACTGATTAGAAGTCGCTGATCTAGCTAGCTCGTCACTGAGCGATACATACAATAGGACGAGTTCAGGATACTATTAGACAGACTTAAAAGACCTTTACGCTTGAGCACCAGACAATGTTTATGTACACGCTTCTTAACGCTTGCTCATCTTGTGCCTAATTCTCGGGTCAGGAGATGATGGGTTGTGTTCACACAACATAGTGGATGTATTACTTACAAATTAGGCTAAAGTCTTTAAAAAATGGAGGATTCAAACGGTCTCACTTTGTCCGTTTTAATCGTAGTCGCGATCGCTAATACTTTGTGTGGCCAAGGTAAGAATCAAAGCGTATGGGTTAACCAGGAGATTGAAAGAGCTGTTCGTTGGAGTCCCTGCTTCTGACGAGAAATAATATGTGAGGATCGATGGTCGATCCAGCCCGGTATCACACCCTCGTGTAGAAAATAATCACTCAGCTAACGTTTGTACAACCAAAAAATTTGGTAACAATAAATAAAACAAGCGCCGAGTTTACTTTCACAACTCTTTTTCTCTTCCTTTCTGTACAATACGCGCACCCAGACGAATAATAGGTTACAACGACAATAATGGATCTCGGCTTCAGCATACCCATAATCGTACTCGGCGCTCTAGAAGCCTTAACTGCACTCGTACAAGTTGTGCGGACACGGCAACACTATACACGCTACACCTTTGTATTTCTGGCTGCAATCTTTAGCTTTATTCGACGGATCACCTATGTTGCAGCAATAGACGACGGGACATGGGACCTGGACATAGTCAAGGGCAACATGGCGCGTACATTTTTATACCAAATGTTTGTCCCATTCTTATACTGTGCCTTTTTCGCAACGTGCCAAAATATGATCACCAGCACCACTACTGTCGATACCGCGATGCCGACAACAAGGATGACATCAACAAAAATATATTATGCAAGAAAATTGACAGGTACTATCTTGGCGTATCTGTGGACCCTCGTTTTAATCATCGTCAATATTGCCTACTGTGCCGTTTTTGCCCGCAATTTTCCAATGCTAAACAGCAGCCTGACACAACAGCTCCTCAGCATGTCCGGCATTACAACACACGGAACATGGGCATACACTGCTTTTGCTATATTACAACTCGTGTCTGGTTGGAACCAGCTGCGTCGGTATTCGGTGTCGCTATTACTCTATCTCGGTATCGTTCTGATTGCCACGATTGGCATGACGGTATCAACGGCACTTTCTTCTAATGTTTCGACGATTGACGATGAGTTTACCCAGAGGACCATTTCTTTTGTCCTGGTGGAACTCGTTGGTCTTCTCGGTCTATTCTATGCTTTGTTTGCTTCGATCCAGTATTGGCAAAATATATCAGCACCAGCGTCGCCATCCTCTCTGAGAAACAGTTACAATCAGCAGCAAGTTAAAAATTTTGATGACTGTTATGCACCAGATTCCAAGCTTAGCCCCACTGATGTTGCGCATGAAATGCACCATTTGGAAGATGTGTCTCAAAAATCCATGGTGTCATCAACATCGGGAGCAACGGCGTATCAACAAATGGACCAGCGGCCTATAACACATGTCGTGTAAGCATATCCTGTGGAAAGAAAAATGATCTGTCTAAATAAATGGAAGATGGTGGTAAGTATATATATTTTTTTCTCTGTCGGTATTATAAATACTATGACTACTGCTACTGACACATCATTTCATGTCATCTACTCTGATTTTAAACGATTTAAGGTAGAAGTACCTATATGCATAAGCAGAGTACGTATAAAAGATACCTCCATAATGCTTTAATACCATTTTTTTGCTGTTTTAATCAAGAGTAATACTATGTTGAATCATACACTGTGTTATTTTACGCCTGATCTTGTATTCCGTACCTAATTTTCTATTTCTTGTTGTTTTCTTCTAAGTATTAAGCACAAAGAGAGACAAAAAATCTATGTAAAGCCTCAGAGAGACAACTGTTGATACAGGGACTTTATTGCACATAGTAATTACACTTTACATGTACATTTTGATCCATACGTTAAGCTGCTATGTCATATAAAAGTAAGAACTTTCAACACCGAAACTCTTTTTATCAATATATACCTATGAAGAAATGTACTTGATCACATCATCTTTTATACAGCTGACTTTAAGCCCCACTTCCTAGACTATAGTTTTGTGGATTGAGCAAAGCAACGATTGTTTGTTCCATAGTAGTAGCCATGATCATAAGAATTTCAAGATGCTGTTAATCCCAGCTTACATCAGGAAACCCTGCAAAAAAGCGCTGCTGCAAAAAGCGGGGGAGCACTGTATTTCCCCATTGCAGTGGTCAATTGGGTGTCGTGCCTAACCCAATCGTGGTTACACTACTCATACGATTCAGCATTGACACACTATAACAGGGCTTCTTCCATACTGACTGCTGAGCTCTCTTCTCACTTTTATTCCACCTACTTTGTAAGAATCTTAACTAGCAGTATTCTTTTCGATATACGCTCTATCTTTTTTGCACTCCTTTTACAACTGGCAGATTACTGAGATAAATTGTAGTATAACCTATCATAGTTTTTTCCTCTTTACTCACAACATCTTATGTTCTTTAACCTTTGATTTAAGATGTGTAACAGCTAAAGATAGTCGCTTTTATAGTATCAATACTTGTTATTTCATGAATTATGATGATAACAATCGATCTGCAACGATGAGATGCAATGAGCCCCTGCCTTCAGCAGTGACAGCTCCAGATATTTGTTGCATATTATATTTGCGTACTTGTTACGAACGGGAGTTAGTTGTATGATAATCGAGACACTTTTTTGAAACCGGCATTGGCTGGTCTGTGTGGCTGCGCTACCTATTTATAGGCCCATTGTCCTGTTTACATAAGCTGGATCATCTGGTGGAATGTTTCCGTGCTCTACATAATGCGAATGTGTTGCTTCTATGCAGATGTGTTTAAGCGGTCTCTATAATGACTGGCTGTATATGCTATTGAGTATCTTATCATGATGTCTTTTGCAGCGGTGGTTCAACACAGAGAGAGAGCATATATCGGATAAGCTATTTGCCGCAGCGGGTATCGGATAAACTACTTTATTGGCTATTTCATTTGCATCAGCCCCAGCTTAGTGGGGTCGACTTTTGGTGCCCGTAACCTCTTTTTCTGGAGACAGATGACAAAATAAGACATTCCAAAAAGGTTTTTTCTGTTTCCCATACATACATGAAAAGCTGTGACACCTTGAAGGTGGGTGCCAATTTGTCGTCTATCGACTTTCCACACCATTTTTTCATCAGCTTAAACTATCCCTTTGATAAGATGCAACATGCGCCAAGGTATATGTTTATTGCAGATCACAAGAATATTGAACCTCTCAATGCAGATAATGCAAATTGCAAGTTGCAAGTTGCAAGTTTCTTATATTTATTTGACATTCTCAAAAACTCGTTCAAAAAGTGTAGAGGTTGCATTTGCCGGGAGTTGCATATCAGCGGGGGCCCACTGTATGTTCGTTGCTATGATGATTATTTGTTAAACATATAGCTCACGTGTGGAGCAGTCAACTACATACGAATACTCGCTCTCGGGTTGTAAATTGCGTTGCATTAGAAGGCACGCAGACGCCTGCCGATGTGTGTAAATATTTGTAAACCTTATCACTGATTTTCATGACTGCTAATGATGCAGATACGTTGGCGTTTTCAACGCATTATGCAATGTCCTATAATGACTTCCAATCTTCAAAGTCAGGCTATTCTATAGGTCACGATAGTTAAAAAATGCTTAATACGACGAAGTAAAAAAAAGAGGATGCTACAACATTTTACTTTTAGATCACTGTGGCATAATCTATCAATGCTCTCCTTTTAGACTGAAATGTATTCGGAGCCAATATCATGCGAACACCTTCGTTTCCAACTTATGCAATTATATATTTCGTGAGAGAAATTGACGACGGAGATACAATACCGCGTGGTTGGTTTGATACCGTCCTCAGCTACTGAGGTATCTACCATTGTATACTTTAAGCACGTTCTCCGAAAGGAAGGCTAAGTACAGTACATGAATTACAATTCGATGAGCTGCTGCCAATCTCATGATACTTATAATATTATGGCTTCGAGGGATGTAACCAATAGTCAACGTCGGATGAACACACAGCAACAAAGGGTCCTATTATTTTGTAACCCGTGATGTGAATAGCTAAAGGTATAAATAGGGGTTCTTTATTTCTGCTTTACAATTTTCGCATCAACTAAATAGTTGTCCTTTTTCATACACTATTTCCCAACGCACATAAAAAACCAATGACTAAAATTGAGAAAACATTATTGGGTAAAGTTGCGGTCATCACTGGTGGAAGTCGAGGCTTTGGCGCTGCAGTCGCTGAAGCAGTTATTGAGCGCGGCGGGAAGGTTGCGATTGGAGATATTTTAATAAAGGAAGGAGAATCTACTGCCGAAAATTTTAATGCAGCGTAAGTAATACCATTAGCACCAACAATACTGTTCACTACATGCTTCAACATTAATGCGAAAAATTTAATATAACATTCTCTATATACTTACAGCGCCGCTGCCAAGGTGGCAGCCTTTATCCAATGCGATGTCACTAGTTACAAAGATAATATTGCACTTTTTCAATTCGCTGAGAAAGAATTTGGAGGCGTTGATGTAAGAAGAAAACTGTGGTAAATGTTTTTCTGTCACTGTTAACTTTCTTGATACAATGTTTGTAGATCGCTTTTCTTAACGCAGGCATTGGTGGTAAAGCTTCCGATATTGCATTTTTGCCTCCTGATGGTATGTTGAATGGCTACGCGAACAATTAGCACCATTTGTCGCTCTGGTAGAGCTGACCCCAGCTTTGTCACTACTGTACATATGTAGATGAGCTTGACGCAAAATGCATGGATGTGAACGGCACCAGCGTCATTAAAGGTTAGAACGGATATATAATGATAAAATACTGTCAAAATTGTTTTGCTTTTATATATATATAGCAATGTCATTTACACCTTTCTCTATGGCTAATCGTCAATTGCGTATGTGCAACAATATCTTATATGATAGGGACGAAGATTGCTATCCTTCATATGGCAAAGAAGGGAGGTGTTATTGTGAACACTGCATCTATTCTTGGTACACACACGCTCCCGTACGTGATTTAATACTATACTAAGTTTCTGTGGTTATGCACATAACGCGCTACTAATACTTTTGAAATCGCACAATGATCTGCTTTATCTATTAGATCCACAGCTGCATACAGTGCTTCCAAGCATGCAGTTGTTGGATGGACGCGTAGCTTTAATCTTTTGCCTCAAGTGTGCGGTATTCGTGTCAATGCAGGTACGTATCCCCCCCATCGCGCAGTAAAATATTTAACTCCGTCATCAACGGATGTCTGGTGTTCTGATTGACTAATCGATTCTATGCATATTATGTAAATATTTAAATCTGGTCACCATCAGTGTGTCCACATTTTGTTGGTAAGGTTTAAAGAAAATTCTTCTTTGGAATTTAGTTTTGACGCACTTACAATGCACATGACCATTAAATTGCCAAAATCTTGTAGATACGGACTTGATCGCGATAAAAAACCCGGAAATAATAGCAAAAGGAGGTCCGATGCTCCAATTGATACCAAAAATCAACAAGGCAACTGTAAGTACTGTCGTGAAAGCCGTACTTACACTTATTGAAGATGAAAGTAGAAATGGTAAGTTGTGAAAGCTCAATGTAATAAAGTTATGTTCACGTATCTATACAACGATGATTATTAAGTTTACATTTTTGGAGTACGTAATACTAATCTATCACTTTATTATAAATAACGCGATATGAATATGAACGATTATAAGCCCAAACTTTGCTCGCTTTACCCGGAGATGTCATTCGCGTTGAAGAGCCACCACCGCCTCTGAGTAAGTACATTTATTAATGGCTTCGTAGTGAAAGAGATTGAGTAGTTTTGACACTGGATAAAAACAAGCAGCTAGCTGACATATAAGACTAATGATTGTTTTTTCTACCACAATAATGTTTTTATAGTGGAAGGAGTCACCCCACAGTTCAAAGAAGACTACAAGCAGTATGAGCGAGACTATGTGAGCTATTACAAGAAACAGCTGAAAACTTCTCTAGAAGTATATCAGAAAGATCATCATTGTGCCTAGTAGATTTGTTGGCGCTTACCTGCAATTCTTTGTATCCAGCAAGTTATTTGATGCAATTGCTTATTTTTCATCAAACGAGATAGCAGGAAAAGACTTCTTGCCAGCAGAACATTTTTTCAGCAACAATATATCAATAAACTCGATAGAGGTTTACATAACTTATGCGGGGCTAAGATGCTACTTGTACTACTTTATGAAGATTCTACGATATCCATGTGAGATACTATTTTTGTAGATTGTCATTTCAATTTAAACGATTTGAGTAAGCATCGCTCATAGTAGTATGCACTATAGATGTTTGAAATTACTTCATTTTCGCTCTTGTAATATATATTGAGAAGTTTCGATCTTTTCTTGTGAGTGATCTTGGTTTTTTAGGGATGTCGATGTATTATTTGTATGTTGTATTGCTTATTATTATGCAAACAACCTATCGTGGTCGAGTTTTTAATTATGGGCAGTGCGTCAGGAGGTAGTGATAAAAATTGTTTGTTTATCGCACTGGCTGCTTAATTCGCCAAACCGAACCTGTTGTGATTTTCGATCGAGACAGTTAAGCTTTTGTTCGTGCATAAGACGATATGACGGAGTGATGGTGTCATGAATTCTAGTGGACTTTCTCGGTTAAATAACTATCCGATGCCGGTCCTAGATCAAAACTCTTAATACATAGCTTATAGCAACAGCTCATAATCCCACGCACAGAGAGAGAGAGAGACAGAGACAAAATGTAAATCAATGCACACAAATTTGTCAATCCGAGTTTCTTTGTTTTTGCTTTGTCTTTATGATCAAGCCTATCGGTGTATAACTACATTAAATGCTTCGATAACGTTCCGAATCTGGACTCGGTTTTCTTGCATTTCAAAATGATGCTATTGGTTCCAAAGACATTTCCCAGCTATTGGCTCTAAAGAGATGAAAAAAGTCCGACTATGCAAAGTTCCAAGGTGCGGATAATGTTATTCAAGTGTGAGTGGAGCGTGTGAGGGCGCTACCGGAGGCAGAGGGATTATAAGCAACTTTCTCTCTTCTCTTCTCAATTTTTACTCTTTTTTATCTCGTATAAAACTAGCTAATACTTCCTACAGTAATTACCATCGCAAACAGAAAACTTTAAACTATAAGCAATGTCAACGCCACGAAGGAGGATAGAAACGGATGTCATGAAGCTGTAAGTTATATTGGCTTTGAGAAGTTGAAAGGATTTGTGTTTTGTGCAGTTTCTTGACACTAACGTAATTCATGATATACTTTCCGCAGCTTAATGAGCGATTATGAGGTCACCTTGGTCAATGACAACATGCAGGAATTCTACGTCCGATTCCATGGGCCTACTGATAGTAAGTATGAGTCAACAGTGTGAAAAAAAAGGTGAGTAAGATTCATTGCAGAGACTTACTAAAACTGTGTCTGGTGTCTGTCAATAGCACCATTTAACGGTGGTGTATGGAAGGTTCGTGTGGAGCTCCCAGATCAGTACCCTTACAAATCGCCAAGCATTGGTTTCATGAACCGCATATTTCACCCCAACATTGACGAAGTGTAAGCCTAATTTTTCCAAGCGGTTTCTACAAGTGTTTCTTTTCAACAGGAAAGAGAAGGCGAGAAAAGGAAAAAGAAAAGTCAAGAAAAGAGTGTTCACTAAGTCGATTTTTGTGTGTTAATAGGAGCGGATCTGTCTGCTTGGATGTGATTAATCAGACGTGGAGCCCAATGTTCGGTACGTTGTGTCCTGCTTGAAAGGCTACTGACAAACGGAAAGAGGGGAAGACATGGTTTGCTAACATGTTGTGTATATCATGTAGACATGATCAATATATTTGAAGTGTTTTTACCACAACTGCTGCGGTATCCCAACCCAACAGACCCATTGAACGGCGAAGCAGCGGCACTGTTGATGCGAGAACCAGCAAAATATGAGGCCAAAGTCAAAGGTATGTTGGGTGTATAAGAAAATATGTGAATGGGAAGAGTGCAGAGAGTATGGGAGACTTGTAAGTAGTCAATGGAAGTAACCCAAGAATGGTGGATTTGAAATACTGTAGACTATGTGTCCCGTTTTGCAACAAAAGAAGCAGCAGATGCAGCAGCAGACGATAGTTCGGACGAGGATGAAATGAGCTCGGTCAGCTACGCATCCTCCGAAGACGAAGCAGCTGGCATGGAGCTATAACAGCAGCGCAACCACAACGTCCACGCAGCAATTCTTTCTACCCCCTCTTTGCAAATAACAAGTACCCCTTCTTCTCTATATACACTTCACATCACGCAATCTTTATTCCACATTCTCTTCCTTTTTCCCCTCTTTTCTGTTTAAGCATGACTTCATTGGCTTTGATAAAACTCTACAATCTGGAGTATATAACAGCAAATTAACAATCAACACCTCGGGTTTTTTCTTTTTTACGTATTATGTTTATATAAAGCAAACAAAAAAGAGAAAAGAAAACAAACCTGCTCGTTCGTTGTACAATCTTCGGGTTCCTTGTCATCTCGGATCCGAACAAACCGTGGGAATCGTAACGAAATACCTTTGGTATCATCCACTAGGCCAACGCCAGCCATGTATCGAGGACTGATACTCAGATCAGCACATTTGACCTCCCATACTTGTTTAGGTGAAAACCACACATCCGGTTTCTCTGGATTATCACCAATCTGGTAGTACCGTGGCACATTTTCAACTTCACGATCCTTGAGCTTTTCATAGAATTCCTTTAGGTTTTCGTCCGAAAAACCAGTACCGAGCTTGCACACTGTCTGATAGTCACCAGATTCGGGGTCATAGCATGCTAGCAAGAACGAGCCATACACTTTGGTGCGCTTGCCTTTGCCTAGGAATGCACCGACAACAACAAGATCCATCGAGTCGCCCACGCCGCCGTTGCCCAGATAATCTTTTTTGACCTTGAGCCAGTTACGTGATCGTTTGGATGGCTCGTACGACGCTTCATCCCCATCGTAGATTTTCACCATCAGACCTTCACAGTTGCTGTGGATGGACACATCCAGGAACGTTTGGATATCCTCAATATTGTTGGTATCCATATGGCGTGCAAAGAAGAATTCGTTCTCGGTTTCTTCGAATCCTTCACGCAATTTTTGTCGTCGTACATTGAGTGATTCTTGCAACAATGACTAGGTTATATTCAAGATTGCCACGAGTAAACGTTAAAATTAGTTTATCCCGACGGTTGAAAGGTATAGAGAAACAGCAAAAGCAATGTTACCTCGCCGTTCATATAGAGACAATCAAATGCGAATATAGCAACTTGAACAGTGATTTCTTCTTCCTTGACATCTTTTCGCTTGCGAGTGCTAAGAACCTGGAATGGCAATATGCACTTCTTTTCACGATCCCACGCAACGGCTTCGCAGTCCAGGATAAACGATGATGTGGATGGCTTGACCCATTTTTTCAACTTCTCAACAACGTCAGGGTAACGTACAGACATATCTTCAGAGTTTCGACTGTAAATTTTTGTGCTGCCATCCGGTAGTTTGTGGATCTAACATTGATAACGATAACACATTTCGCTTTTAGCACATATTTTCAAAGTTGGATACATATCATATGAATGACCAAAGTATTACCTGTGCTCTCTCACCGTCATATTTAAATTCGCATGTAAATGGATGTCCTTCGAATCGATCTAATACTTCGGTCAAACTCTTTGTGGGGTGCGCCAACATGGGCTTAAGTGGGATTCCTAAATAAACATCCGGTTCCAGCTTAATATACAAAGAGCTTTGTGAACAACGCAGTTTACTTTTCCCTCCCCTTGTATGCATATATACCTGCTCGCATTTTGCACCGGTCTTCAAGTTCATCCAATGAATATTCGAGCAGTGCAGGCACAATCATGTCATATGAGGGAAGTTGACTGTATAGATCCTAATATTAGCAACCAATTCCATGATCTTAACACTATGTCCACTTTCAATTACGGGAAAAAAAGAAGAAACTTACTTGTACACTGATTTGATAAGATCCACTGCATATGTAAGCTTTTGCTCCTTTTCTTCTGTCTTCATCTTTGCTGATTCTGGCTTGCTTAGTACGACTGAATGTGCCAAAGCTGATAGGACCGTTTGTTCTGCGAGACCAATTCGGAGCTTGCCTTCGAGTTGTCTGATCAAATATTTTGCTTCGTTGCCTTTACAAGCAGTCAGCAAACTTCGGATCTTATCGATCTTGCTGTTTTGAGACTAAGCAGACGAGAAAAGGGGTGTTAATGTTGTGGATTAAATTCACCTCCTCCCAAGCTCTGGTATGTTATATCAATTTACAGATTTTCCTTCAATTTTGGCTATTGCTTTCAAAGTCTTGAAGACATGGCTCACAGTCAATGGTTTGGGTGGGAACAACACACGCTGTGAATTTTTACTATTCTACTGACGATTGTAAGTATACATAAACTTCAAATGTGCTCATTCGATTACTTTTGCTTTTTTCTTTCTTTTCCATCAAATTCTCTAAAATGCCTTCGCATAACGTTACCTTCGCAACAGTACCAAGGTCACCCGTTTCATGGTAATCCTTCTGAATTTCCTTTACAGTGCGTCCAGTAGACTTTTCGATAGATTTGATCAACAACGATTCACCGATACCAAGTTCCAAACCTTCATAATCAGGACATAGCTGAATGAAATAAACGATTTGGAGCATGAGTATCACACTGTAGCGCTTAGAAGCATCCCATCCATCCATCCTTTTTCCCTTCAACTAATACAATTATTTCCTAATTTTTGTTATACCTTGTTGATACACATGTAAAGCGTGCTCAATAAGTCATCCGACTTCTTTCTGATTACTTCGACAAACAATGTGACCAGATACTCGGTAATTTCTAGGCGTTTTGTTGTTGCTTCGCATGCTTCGAAAGTCGTACACAAAACTGAGTAAGGTACACTGTACACATATTATTTAGCACCAGTGATGATTGACATATGCGTATATCTCAAATACTCACTCGCTTCCTGCCTTCCATGTCATACCAAGTTTAGAGCTTGTGTCTGCAGTCGAGAAACATGCCCTGTAAATCAGGTAACGAAACGTATACAGAAGCACATTAAAATCTTCAAATATAAGTGTGATCTAAACAAAGTATTAAATACAAACATGACTTGAGCAGCGGTCTTGTCATCCTGCGACTCTCGCTTTTGTTCTTTTTCTTGTGCTTCTGCCTCTTTCATTTCCTCGTCCTCTTCGTCGTCAGCAACTAGTGGTTTTTGCTTTTTCGTAGTATCCTCATAAGCAGCTTCCTCAGAATCGTCCGATAAAGGACGTTTGCGCTTGTCGCCTGAATGTACACAATAATTCGTTAATCGATCAATTGTACTGAGTGACACCTTTTTTTTAAATAGTATGTAGTTGATACGAGTTAGTGTACCTGCGGTTGTTGCTGCTTCTGCTGCATCTTTGTTGCTTGTTTTTTCAGTAGTGCTACTACTGGCGGTTTTGTTTTTTTTCTTTCCTCCAAAGAAATCCCTATTACAGATCAAAGCAAAAGACACAATTAACGTTCACTCGCATATATTATTTTCCATGGAGACAGATTTGGAGGATCGATTCTTACAATGTTGCTTGTTTTTTCTGACCTGCCATGGTTTCACACGCACACACACACACGAGTATAAGGAAACGAGAAGAACGCGTTTTTTGGTAACCAAACGCGTAAATTAAGTTTATTTCAAGCTCCGAGTATTTTCTACTTTATTTAAAACCGTGCTGTGCATCTGCCTGCGCAACCCACACATTCTTTGTAATGCTGGCGCGATGCTTATTTTCATCCTTGATCTGATAGCTATCTGGCCAATGACTCGTGTGCCTTCTGGTGTTGCCTTCCGGCGAGGGCTTCCAGTTTTCAAAATCACTATCGAACCGTGGCTCGCGATCTGGAATTCCTTGATCTTCTTCAGGATGCTTCTTATGATGCACCACGTGAAACTTGTTTTTATTTGACTGAGGATCATACGCGCTCTTGTTCTTTTTCGACGTGTTTGCTATTATGCCTGTAGCATCATAGAGAGACTTGGAACTTTGCTCACTAGGAGCACCGGGGACTGACAAGGGTGGGACCTTGACGCGACCGCTTTCGGGATCAGCATTGAACCAATTTTTAATGTTGTTTCCGTTTTTGCCGTTTTTGTTTTTCGTACCGTTGGTCGTCTCGTGGGACATACTACGGCGAGCCACGTTAGCATATGATTCGCTTGGCCAGTTCTCGATAGATCCTTTGCGCGTTGATGATGGTGGGATGATTTCAGCATGGTGGATAGCCTGCTTGCCGGTTGGCAAAGATTCGTTACGCACGCGCAGTTTAGGAGGTGATGGAAACTCGTGTTGATATGCATTGTGCTCGTATGGGTTATCGTGATCTTTGCTCTTGCTTCTGTCGGTCGTGATACTCGACGGTGTTGACGACGCTGCTGTAGCAGCGTTCGAAACAGGGGATTTGGATGATCGTGATACGGCGGATGACGATGGTGTTGTTGCTGGTGCTGAGAATTTCCATAGTTTAAACATGCCTTGCACCTCATCGTAGGCCACATCAGACCCCTGGAATTCAATATCTTCTTGCTCGCGCCATTCAAAAGGCTTGTTACCCGTCATTGTATGCTGGAAAAGGAAAGAAAATGCACGATCAGACCAAGACATGCGGCGTGAACCTTGTACTTGCTGCTGATCTTGATCATAATGCTGTTGGTTGAACAACAAGGACAAGGGCCAGGAGTGACGGTCTTGTTGCCTTTGCTCTGCTGACTTGCTTTGACTTTGCGCTGGGAGAGGAAATTTATTATGCAATGGACTTTCTCCGTGCTGCTCTTCTTGCTCAGCCGTTTTAACACTCATGGAAATGGGTCGTCCTTGGTCTTGTTCTCGTTCTTGCCCCGAGGGAGGATGCTGTGATTGCTGCTGCTCTGGTGACACCTTCTTTCCGCGTTGCTCTGGCGATGAGACTCCATCGATACCTGTGCTCCATGCATTCAGCGTCTCCGACAATTTATCAATCAATGACTCCGTGCTTGATGACGATCTTCGAAATACTAATAAATCAGCCAGAGTAAAGTCAATAGAATCTTTTTCAAATTTTACATCCATTATGTGTGTTTCAATGTTCGATTACCATTTTGGCCCGCAGCTTCGATTTTTTGGACAAACGATTCGCGCCGTTCTTCAGGCTCCATACTTGGGCGACTCAAAAACATGGGACGCTGCGTTGGGTGCTGTGAATTGTTTTGATCGTCATCACCGTAAGGTTGCTGCCGCTGTCTTTTGGTCTCGATTTGCTTGCCTTTCCAACGCTGTTCGATCATATCTGCAATAGACCGATTTTTGCTATGACTATGACTGCTCAATCCACCGGACTCGTCACCCGTGATACTGCCTTGACGTCGTTCTTGACGCGTAGGATGGTACGAGTCTTCGTCGTAATGGCGTGTCGGTGCTTGGGTTGGACTGTCCTGAGGACTATAGCTCGACAGCTGTGTATAATCGCTTTCACGGTCGCGACCATGATCGTCAGTTGTAAAACGATTCATATTGTCGCAATCAAAACCAGTTAAAAGAGAAAGTGTGTGTGGTCAAAGGGAAATAGGCAGATACGTTGCATGGGAATAACCCATATTTTTTAAAGAAAAAATTTCACACAAAGTTTATGCAGACACATATAAAAACTTATGCAATCAAGAAGGCAAGCGCTGTTTAGTACAGCCAGCGGGGGCGGATGCCCATGACAACTATATAATGGTGCTGCATATATGCCATAGTAACCAATATATGCCGCTACCATGGCTACGGAAGCATGATGGCGCTCTTTTCGACAAATATCTTTCGATTGATGAGATACTTACACTTTTTCTGTGAAGAAGTTCCACGGTTAGGCCATATTTGCCGTCACGTCCGATGAAATTATCGCGCGACATTATGCAGACATACCCCGCCTAAGTATTTTGATTTTTTAAATCTCAATCCAAAAATGCACAAAGTACTTTAGCAACAGCGATAATGATAGGTGTCATTTGGCACGGGACTTGCTTCCTTATAACCGTAGTAGCAAACGATCACTTTGGTCTTCACATGTCTGGAACAGGAGCACGGGTTGACCTAGGGATAAACATCAGCTCGCTTTCAGTTGAATGTTTAACCGCTTGGTTTCACTTCTTTGATAGACCTCAAAATGCGCGAAATCAACCTGTTTTTTAAAACATTTCACAATATATAACCCCGGTAGTACATACCACTTCTTTTTTCCTTTCGAATTTCTTTAAGCTATTCATTACACATATACATTCATGGCATCATCAGAAGATTACTTGACGCTTCCTCGGGAGTTCTTACCTCGCCCACGCCATCAACCTACTGAATCCGTCAAATCGGGCCGTACGATTGTAATCGCATATGATCAGACGCGCGCAAGCGATGCTCTTCTAGACAAGACAATTCGGACTGGGTTATTGCAACCCGATGATGATATCCGTCTGGTACACATTTTGCCTCAGCAGGACTTCTTCTCGTCACTGACACAGCAGACATCAAATGGCAATTCCGTCATGGCAAGCATGCCATCGTTCGACGCACAAACCACCAGCCAAGCCAAAGACCAAAATGAAAAGATTCAAATAGAAGCCAAGGAAGACATGTTGTTGGCAGTGGCGAAAGTTCTCCAGAAAAACTCGGTGAGTTGTTATTATCTCTATATTCTGTGACACTCAATCTTACAAGAATTTTATGCATAATATTACATGATAGTTCCAACATGTCAAAGTCGAGGTGGTACAAGGCGATCCCAAACAATCCCTGCAGGATTACTGTCAAAGTGTGAAACCAACATTTTTAATGACCGGATCGCGTGGTTTTGGAAAATTTAAAAGGTTTGTTCAGAGATAAATGGAACATTGATTGGGAACTATTTGTTTACTTTTTTGTTTGTTTGTTTGTTTGTGTCATTTATTATAGTTCGATTCTTGGCTCTGTGTCGGATCATCTCGCCAAGAATTGTCCTTGTCCCGTTATGATTATCAAGGTCACAGAAGAAGAAATTGAGGCACGCACCGCTTTGGCTGAAACAAAGAAATCTATCTTTTCCAATTGGTTATGTGAGTGCATCATCTTATTTAGTCCACTAACACCTCGTTTTACTTGATAAGTATGTATTCTAATCAAACATACTACTGTATTCTCCCATTTTATAGCCTCTAGGTAGTTTTTTTGATAATTAATGGTAATTACTATAATAACAATAACATGTATTATTAGAATAATATGTCTTCTTTTATCAGCACACGATTAGAGAAAAGTTATTTACATTGAATTAGAAGAAGCGATGGGGAGGGCGAATGAAAAGAGTGTTTATAGTGAGAAAAAAGGTATATAGATGAAAAGTAGTAAGCGTATATAAAAGCACAAATAATTTTTTCAGGACTCGTGAGCTTTACGGATGTCACGACTGGCTTTGATCAAGGGAATCAATTTTTGCACAGGCTCGGCCTTGTTCAAAAACGGATGTTGCAACAGAACATCTGCATCTGGTCGCGTCCGACTATCCACTTGGAGCGATTGCCGTAAAAAGTCGGATAAGGATTCCGATAATGCCTCCGGATGCTGTAATGTGGGTGTTCCATTGGTGGCGATCAAGTACAGAGCGCGCAATGGGTTCTCGTGCAAATACGGCGGCTCGCCCTCAATCATCTCAATAACCATAATGCCCAACGACCATACATCAATCCGCGGGCCATACTCCTTTCGTGTAACAACTTCCGGAGCCATCCAATAGGGCGTGCCAACCATGGTTGTCCGCATCTCTTCATCATTCAGCCGTGCGCAGAAACCAAAATCCGTCAGCTTGACTTGACCATTCAGCCCCAGAAGAACATTGTCCGACTTGATATCGCGATGGATGATATCCAAATGGTGCAGATGGTGGATGCCTTGCAGCGCTTCACGACATACTGTTGCAATCTGTGCCTCGGTCATCATGTTTGTCGTCACAACATCCGTTAACGAGCCTCCCTCCATGTACTCCATCACAACCCATAGTTCGCCTGTCACCAGAAACGAGTCGATAAAGTTGACAATGTTGTTGTGCTGTGCCTCGCGCATAACCAAGATCTCATTAATAATGAGTTCCTTTTTGGGCTGTTGCGCAAGATTCATTTGTTTGATGGCGACCGAAATGTTGGTATCCACCGATTGTGCGGTATACACGCCACCAGACGCTCTAAAAGAAAGATATCCAGCATGGTTCGTTAATTTTTTCCTGCACGCCTTTCCTTTTTAAAAGTAAATATTTACCCTTGACCAATTTTGACCATATTCCGATAAAGTTTGGTAGGATCGGCATCTGTACAGATGGCGCGCAACTCTGCCAAGATCTCAGCATCCCTTGCAGCATCTTTTTGTCGTTTTTGTTCTCGTCGACGCACTCGTGGTTCTGGGGGTGGTCCTGTGTCCATAGCTGGATCGAGCGGTGCCGCCACAGGCGAAATATACACGTCGGCATTATTGTTATTATTTTTGTGGTTGTTGCTGCTTGGCATATCCAGTTGCGATTTCCGCCGTTCAGTGGTTTTGGGCTTGTTGGCTAATTTCGGTCGTGGAGGTGCAACAGGTGGTTGCTGTGTCGTCGAGATAGCAGGCGTGGTTGTGATTATAGGAGTAGAAGAGGATGAAGAGGATGATGATACAGATGGCTTAGGTGATTGTGGAGTAGTAGTTGTAGTAGGGGTGGTGGTAGTGGTGGTGGTAGTAGTTGTAGTAGTATCTTCATCAATTTTGTTGGTATTACTGCTCGTACTCGGTTTCATAGCAAATGTGGGTTTCGTCGATAATGGTGGTTTTGGTGGTGGCGGTTTGCTGCTGGTCGGAATCGTCGGACGTGATTTATTCTCAAATTGATGCAGTCGTTCAGCGATACTGACAGATGCTGCTTCTTCAGTTTCCTCTATATTACGACATTTGACCACACATGTCCAAGTTAGCCTTCCTCTCTTTGATTTCCCTCGCTTCTCCAAACAATGAATTTAAAACCCCTTACGTTCAGGTGGTGAAGGTGGTCGAGGCGGACGTGCCGGAATTGTAGGCGGTGACGGACGCGCTGGCAGCTCGGGCTTGGCATTGATGTTTTCGTTACTTTCCTCGGCTGTTGAGTCCACAACCACAAGTCTTGGCCTTGCACGTTGCGGTAACGGAGGTGGTGTCATGCGTTTCACAACCTCGCTTGAGAAATGCCTTGGATGCGCATTACCAAACTTTTCCCATACCCCATCCTCAGACTGTTCGCGCGTCTCCTTGTAAAATCCAATCACGTCCAACACTGCCTGTGGATTTGCCTGTTGTTCTCGCTTGGAAATGCCGCTTTGTTGCAGAAGAACATGCCACTCGCGTGGTAGCCCAGTAAATTCGCCCGTCTGTGCGTTGAATCCCACGTGTGTGACATGAATAAGGTTGTACGGCGACGAGATTTTCGCTTTTTCTGATGTCGTGGATGATGCTGAAGACGTACTGCCCGAACCCCAAAAATCTTTGTACAAAGCAGTAGAGAAAACAGCGTGAGTTAATCACAGCCTCTCTTGAAATGTACTATAACCATTACTAAATTGCCCACCCCCTTTTCTTTGTGTCTGTTTCTTAACAATTATCCTCTAACATCCTCCGCATTTCTCCAATAAATGTTCCTAACACTTACCACTGACACTTCCTACAACTCGATCCAGAACACCTTTAAGAGCATTTGACGTGGTAGTTCCAACATGAGTGATAATACCATTTCCATTGATAACGTGTTTCCCACTCCCGCCTCCTGTCGATGTGGGTGTTATCGTCGTCATTACCGGCGGGTTTGCTGCGTCGGACTGGTAATGCTGTTGATCTACAGCAGACACCTTGCTTAATGAGCGTAATGTTGCCGGGTTGGGCCGTGGTGGAGGCATTGGTGGTGCATCCGCTGCTACTACAGCAATGGATGGACGTGTTGGCTGTTGTGGCAGTGGTAACGGCGGTTTTGTGCTATTATTGGGTACTGGACGTTGCTGTACTGGAGGTGGCGGTTGTTTCGATTCATATTCTCGTAAAAAGGTCGGCTTTGGTTTAGGCGGTAATGGAGGTACAGGAGATCTCGGCCCTGGTTGGGATGAAGTAGTGGTTATCGCCGCTGGATTGTGGGAGTGCTGCTGTAGTTGGTGCTTATTATTATTGTTGTTACTATTACTTGAAGCAGGGCGAGTATTCGGTGGCGGCGGTGGTGGAGGCAGCAACGAGTCATGGTCGGATTTGCTGTTAAATAGTTTGATGTTGGCAGAGACAATGCCAGACGCCGGGGAAGGTGGTGAAGACATTGTTTCTTTGGTCCAATCGCATTGGCCCACTTGAAGAGGAAGTACAGAAAGGAAAAAAGGTGTAGTTCTCTCTTTACCGTGTATAGAAGGCCTTCGGGCTGAGCTAAAAAGCGGAAATCCGTATTTGGAACTTTTCGATTGTAATGAGAACACAGTTAAAGCTTTCCAGTAGTTGTTTGGGACCTGTTGCTTGATTTCTTTATACAAAAAACGATTTAACCTATATGAATCGCATAGCTGCTCTGAAAGAAGTCCATAATAAGTCGGCTCAGATTTTAATAAATTCAAATGATGCTTTTTCCTGTTGATTTTGACTAGCTTCTATTGCAGAAAATGGTTATCCAACATCATTGTTGTTTCATTTATTGTTGTGGTTGGCATGAAAAATGCTCTTCAAATCTTTGTTTCCTGGCTTTGTTATACATTCGTTCATATGACAAGGTTTAGTAATCGTATATAAAGTAGTATTTTATACTACATTTGCTCAATAGCTGTTGTATACTTTGTATCAATTGCTGACTTTGCTGTGTTTGACTCGATCTTTTTTTTGTATGCTTGACTTTATCATTCTTCTATGGCGCGCATATATTTATTTCCTAAATTGTACATGACATCAATAATAACAATAACAGTAGACCTACTGACTCCTGACAGTAAAACCTTGTTTTCAAAACCATACGCCTTGGCGTTCACTCCTTGATGCTTGGCAAAGTGATATCTAGCCAACATTAAAGTTCAGTAACCACAGCAAACTGCTTAAGTGCTTGCAGTCTACATTATAGCTTTTTCAATTAAATATCGCTAGTGTAAATCGTTTTATGCTGAAGAATACAGCTATCAGCGATTATGGAAAAAGAAATGGATTAAATGTAGATACAAATTAACAGCAGCTTGTTCCGTTTTGTTAAAGACCGTCGTCGTAGGCTTTATGTGAACCTTTGTATCTCTGTACACATACTGTCTGACTCCAGGTCGCACCACAGGAAATTTTTAGCATATGTAATAAGTATCATACCTCTTTATTATTCTGTTTTTGGCTACATCACTTATAAACGCTGTAGATCTTGGCATATCTTATTTACTTGCCATACACTAATCGAGAACGATCACCTGTCAATTACCGTTGCTTTCATTGGACAATTTGTCGCGTTTGTTAAGGTCTTGATCCTAAAATTATCAGACTGTCGTCATTTTTTATCGCATTTAGGAACTTTTGTGATATATGGTGTATGGCTGTTGGATGATTAAATTTAGCCTTTGAGCCCTTTTACTGCGTACCCATGTTCTTTGTTGTGACAAACTGGCATTCTAAGCACAATCATGCAGAAAAATAGTCTCCATATTCGCTTTATTTAAACAGAAATGCCATTTACTGACGACCTTCACCGCAAATAACCACTCTATAATGTGCTTTGCCGCTCATAATGATCCCAAGGCCTCGGTTCACTTCTTCTAATGAGTTGCCCACGCGATCAATCCATGGTCGAACGCCGGTTTTAGATGCAAATTCGAGCATTTCTTGCAAATCCTCGCTGCTGCCGACGTAGCTACCGATAATACTGATATGCTTGTAAACAAATGCACCCGCATTAAAAGGTACAGGTTCCTCGGGAATATCAAGCAATACAAGCTTGCCGCGTAGTTTGATCAAGCCCAACAAATCAGTCCAGTTGGTTGATTTGCCAGATCCGCATACAAATAGATAATCAACAGACTGTTGATATTTGGCAGTTTCACTCAAAGTAGCGAACTCTGTTGCACCAAGTTTAAAAGCTTCTTCCCGTTTAGCATCGGATGAAGAAAAGGCAAGAACCTTACTGCAGTTTTTGGCACGAGCCCATTGAACCTAGATGTTATCAGGAAACATACATAATCGTACCTCTGTCAGTTTTGTACCTGGAACAACAGAGCCCATATCCAATCCACATGCAGAGATATTACACCCAACAGAATATATTGCTTGTACTTACTGCCAAGTGACCCAGGCCACCGATGCCAACAATACCAACGGAATGTTGCTCACCAATGTTTTGATGCTTGAAAGGAAGAAAGCTACAAGAAAAAATTTAAAATTTATATCTTTCCCTGAGACGGTTCCCATAAGTAACATCAACGTGGAATGAGTAGAAATTTACTTACGTGGTAACGCCTGCGCAGAGTCTTTGGATGGGGCATCAGAGCAACAGTACAATGCCATCATAGTAGACATGAATCAGAAACGGCACGTTATATATATTAGATACGTGACAATAGATTACTTACAATGGAGCACCTTCCTCGCTGCTGATATTTTCTGGCACCTTGATGGCCCATGTGGACTGCACACGAACTCGATCCGCATAACCCTAGATCAACATATTAATAAAGACGTCTACCAGTATACATGACGTATGTTCGTATCGGGAAAGGGAAAAGTAAAAGGTACTTACACCATAGGTCATCTGGCCCTTGTACTTGCCGTTGTACGTGGTCACTTTGGAAGGGCATAACTGCTTATGCTGAGTTGTGCACTGTTCACATTCGTTACAGCTACGGCATACAGGGCTTACACCCACACGATCGCCGACCTTGTGCTCTGTTACTTTGTTGCCAACAGCAGTGATATCGCCAATAAACTCGTGTCCTGGAATCAAGGGATAAGTTGCTCGTCCCCAACCCTAGCAAACCAAAACAATAACCCTCTTGTGAGCTACTTTTTCACGTCTACCCAGACCTTCCTCAAGGCTCCCTCGCTTACATTAGTCAAATGGTGAACATCGGAACCGCAACTACACTGCTAGTTAGTCTTATGTGCACATACGCCCGCCACTTTGCCTTACATGCCGCACGCTTGAACACGAATCTCGACTTCGTCTTCCTCGAGTGGTCTTGCGTCAAATGTCATTGACTCTAATGTAGGACCGTCAATAGGTTTTAGGGCAGCATAACCAGTGAATTTATCGTTCGTCATTGTTTTTCTAAATCAATAAAAGAAACACAAAACGTTTATGCTCTCCTTTCCCCTTTCTGTATGATCGGTGTTTTCTTATTATATGCTTCATGTTCTCATCCCCACTTTTCCGAAAGATGGTGACACAAGATTATTTCAGCTATATCCACTACTTCTATTGTACCTGTCACTTTAACTATTACTACTCAATTCATTTAACGATAAGCAAATGATGATATGCTAGATCGAACAGTAGCTGCATCGAGCGCTGGAATAGGTGATTACTGCATGTGTGATAACGAGACTTATGAAGTTAAAAAGTCAAAAGTTGAGTTCATTATCAGTGATAAAATGTAGGCTGTTATCATGATACACGGGGGTTCTGTTACCAGTATTCAGCATTTTATTATTGTGTTTCTATACCGTACGTATATTTTTTCTCTTTACCGTTATATATATATATATATATATTGAGATATCGATGTAAAAGAACGTATATATCTCTGACAACATACTGTGACATAATTAATTTATGTATTTACACAATTTGGAAGATATGTCAGAGCAATGAATGGCCCATTGAAAAAAAATGTATAGCAACAGTGCCCCCGGAACAGCAAGACAAGTTTGGAACATCAATATAGCGAAACGTCTACAAGCAAAAATGAAAAGCACGCGCAACATTGAGCTTGTTGATACTTCTTTTGGCCCCAGCTGTTTGTTGATATCGGCCAACAACTACTGGAGATTTGAAATACATGTTGCTGTATAATTACGAGCCCACATTGAGCAAGGTATATTTGTGTATGAGGGTAAACAACACATGCTTTTGAATGATAGAGACGTATTACCGTATCCTCGATGTTAGTTTTTCTCTGATTGCATTCCAGTAGTTCAATAGCTATTAAGTGGAAGTACCGATTTTATCGTACACAACATATGTCTACAGTGGTCCCCGGTTCGAATAACTTAAAGGGTCTTAGAAGGTTGAAGCTAATGAGGGTTGATAAAGCGAAGGCGGGTTTAATATAAAATTTATATGTTTTCTTAGTCTTAAAAATCCCATCTCAAAAGGGCTGACACAACTGAGGGTAGAATGTATCTGAGGGTGACCTTAACGGCGGCCTCTGCAGCTGTTCTTTACTTCTAATGTTTAAACGTTCTTTCACGCACGTTTGTTTCTAGGATATGCATTTACACAGTAAGATATAATTTTTAAACACGGCGGTAAAGCCAATAAAATATAACACAAGAGATTTTAAATTGTAATTTTTTCATAAATTGCTTTCTTATACTGATTGTATAGATTTTACTATGACTGTAGTATTTAAACTAATCCTAAAACTGCTAGTAAGCTTTTGCCCATGGTATGTAATGATAGTCCTCTGTGATTTTCTCTAATATCCTGATCCAGACAATTTGAGTGGGGCAGTCGCTGTCCTTTCCGTATGATATTTTTTTTTCTTTGTTTCTCGCTATGATACTGTGGTTTCTGGTGCTTAAAAACTGTGATGGTTTAATTTTCGTTTTCTTGTTGAATGTGCTATGTAACAAGTTGGATTTATAATAGGATGCTTGGATCGAGTCTTGCTATCATGATTCAGTGCTACTTTGTTGTTCCATGGTTTCGAGTTCGACATAAATGATGTAAAGCTCCTTAAACTTACGCAGATCTGTTTTTCATTGTTTTGTAAGCATCATGCTACCGTAGATATACGCATACCGTGATAATTAAGCTCTAACAAGGAAAGCAGCACAGATGAAGCTTTTATTTATAGAGCGTAGCTTACCCCTCATAAGATATATGCATCATACACATTGTAACCAGAATTGAACACCTGCGTAATTAGGCTCTTGTCTTTTTCACTGTATACAGCTGGTTTAAAGAGTGGTACATAGTTGGCGAAGCCCGCAACGTGGTGTAGTATTTATAGATGTATCAATCTCTGTGATATAAAGTGCAAGTAGCAATATATGTTGTAAGTATACGCCTTCGCTTCTTGTAGTCAAACTACTGTATGTTGCTCTTTGCAAACATACATCGGTATATAAGCTTAGTGTATTGGACAATAATACTTTGCTCATCTTTAAGAACATAGCCCTGTGAGCTGGCTAAATGGCTTCCTATAGCATTTTGACATCTGTCGCAATATTGAGAACCATGCCTCACAAAGCAAAGTACTAAGTTAATATGTTGGTATAGCAGGGTTTTTCTTAAAGCATGATTCAAAATTCTCAATTCACATTATCATATAGATCGTAATAGACCAATGTACTTCAGACATTACCACTAGATAGTCCTTTGACGTTTCTTTGGGGGGTAAACCGCCATCAGATACACAAAACTATATGTAGTCTAAGAACGAATAGACACCAGTTGGAAATTAAGAATAGTTCAAGTGTATATTATTTATTGATATACTCAGTGACCTGGGTGATTGGTTGCTTTTCCTTACGGTACAATTAGAAGAAGAATATTTACAAATGAGGGATGCCACAACTAACAAAACCTGTACAATGGGAAAAACGTTAGGGTTGATAAGATTTTTAAAAATAATACTGCCAACAGATTATATTTTCTGTCGTTTTTATTTGATTGCATGATAAAAAATATCCTCTATACTTTCTATATGATAAGCTACAACATATCAAAATGATAATTTGCCAAGATCATCAGTGTTATAGTGGCACAAATTTGCATACATATAAAAAGCATTTTAAAGGGTATATCGGAAGCCAGGATGCTAATGCAAAGTATGTTGCAACAGTATAATATGCCATCAATAAGTTTATTGTTTGTACATTGTTAAAAGCGGAACGCAAGTTGAATTGTACAAGTAATACCTTTTCACCGAGATCTTCGCTGTTTTCACATATAGCCCTAAGCTTCTCAGGCGCCATGTTGTCGCGCTTCTTATTGATCTTGTAAAAAATGTACTTGATTGTGATCGGTAGAACAACGAGACAGCAACTAATGGCTAAACAAGCTGTGTTGCCTTTTACATATCGCGGTGCATCGTCTGCTCTATACAACTGGCCACTATTATTACAAAGGAAGACTATGGTGAGAATGGGCTAGTTCCAGTTTACCGCGGGCATGCTTAGCCTGAAAATTTGATTTTTACCCTATTGCTCCACCTATGTTCCCCAAAGTCGTTGATAATGCAATGGCGGTGCTACGTCGAGTATGGCCAACGACATTATTTGAAAGCCAGGCTGTTTTCAGTGGACTGATGCTGAATACACCCATGGCTGTGAAAATAGTACCGATGTACAATATCAATGGGCTTTTGTCTCTTAAAGTAATAAGAATTGTGTATCCAATAATTGATAAAGTGATTGAACACGCCATGTGAAATCCACGCTCGCCTTGTCGATCAGCATGCCATGCTACAAATAAGCACCAAACGAATGCTTTACGAAACGCTGTCAGCTGCTTCGTTCTCCTCGGTAATATCCATTTGATTATGAGACAATGGAAGGATACTAACCGAAGGCATATGGTGGGCTACTCATCGCCTATTCACATGTTCATAAGAAGTTCATTAGAATGTACTTAGCAAAGCAGGTTTGATCCTCTTTCAAATTTGCCTAATCTAAAACATAGATGAGATGATAGCAGTAAAAGTACCTGAGCCGTCAAGGATGTATATCCCATGCCGTGGACAATACTTGGCATAAACATGCTTAGGCTGTACATCAAAAGTGCTCCACAAAAAAATATCAAAGAAAAGGCGTAAACCTTCCAATCAATCATGGTCGAACCAACTTGTTTCCACGTAAAATTCGTTGCATCAGCTGCGACACCAGCATCTCTCTTTTTCTGGTCGGCAATGATCGCACGCTCTCGCTCGTTTAAAACTAAAGCATATAATGGGGCATCAGTGCTTTGGAACAAATATTCATGAATGCCAAACACGCAAGAACTCACATGTTGTGTTTTCTGGAAAATTGGGTAGCACAACATAAGTGAGCGCACCAAGTACCAATGTTGGAATAGCTTCGATGATAAAGATCCATTGCCAGCCGCTTAAACCGCCAATGCCATGCATCTGAACAATCCCATAAGCCTGTTTTTGTGTTTTTTCACCAATAAGTATACGTAACATGTAGTACTTTGCTACTTCAAGGAAAGTTGACTTACAATGATTCCTCCAAATGCCTTTTAAATAAATCGCGGTAGTAGTGTACACCGCGTAGCTCATTGTTAGTCTACGAACTTTATATTCTACCATCTATTACAATATATAAACTTACACCGGCTAAAGTAGAGCTTCCATAAAACACTGCGATTCGCAAGGCCAACTGTCTTTTTGTGTACCACACAGATAAATAGAAAATAATTCCCTGTAAAAAAGAAGTATCATGATTAGCTAACTCTTTATAAATATCTTTGCATTAAATGTTATTTAGTATAACGCTTACTGGGAATAGACCACTCTAATGAGAAGAACAATTGCATTGTATATCATGTCAGAAGAAAATACTAGAGGCAGCACTACAGAATGATTTCTAGGTGGTGAGGGAATACAATACCTCAGCGACCCCTAGGAAGAATCTTGCAGCTATCAATCCTGCACCCGTGCGACAAGTGGCCATGCTCGCCATGATGACTCCCCATACGAGTAAAATGATGGATAACCATAATCGAGGGCCAGCGAATTTGAGCATAAGATTGGAAGGTACTTCAAATATGAGCTTAATAAACAATTGAATCAGTGTTGGGAAAAGGAGTAATTTACTACTCGATGTTTGGACTTACGTAGCCAACGAAGAATATGGAAAGTGCCCAATGGTACTCTGAATTCGTTATACTCATGTCGTCCATTAGGCCTGCTAACTTGGCATTTCCTATTTGAAAATGATATGTACCCAATTCTAGTGTTAATGTGTCACCAGCAAATCTGACTGAGGTTCTTTCTTCATTTCAGAAAATGCGAAACACACCAATATTTATCCGATCTAAAAAAGAACAAAGGTACATGAGCGACACAAGTGGCACGATTCGCAAATCTATCTTCCACATGAGCCGTCGCAATTCCTTCCCATCTGGCTCGATGAAATCTGTTGGTTCTTTGGATCTTGACATTGCCATGTGTTCAGTTCTGATTTCTTTTAGCTGTGCCTCGGAGTTGTTCCCTCGATCAAGTATATCCTTATATATGTTCGTAGAGATCAAGTGTGTGTGACGAAGATAGTGTTGCAATGTTAAGGCGTTACCGCTTTAAAAACTATTGCACTCAACTTCGTTTTCTGCAGAGATATGCATGGCGTTTTTTTGCCCAATTTGAAATATGCACAATGTAAGGAACTCGGGATACTGTATTGCGCCTCAATTTGTGTAGAAGACATTTCATCCAAAAAAGAAAATTGAAAATCGATATAATCACAAGCTATGTATAATCAGAAAATAACGCGTAGCCAACACGATACTACTTGATAAGCTGCTATGGATAAGTTGGCAGTGGTCATATATAAAATTGGAAACAATATAACTTGATGTAACTTGGTGTGTTAAATCTCCCTGGTGGCGCTGGCCATTACGCAGAATATGTTATAAACACATGCATATGTAACATAGAATCATACTCCTGAAATAGCTTTACTAGTTGCGGGGCACGAAACGGACGCAATGATCAACAGGAGTTACGACAACACCTCCGGCTTTGACATCATCAATGTTTGGATATTCAGGCTGGCCTTGGGCGTCAAGTGTTGGCAAGATATTACATTTCGAGAATACGGAAATAAACATGTCGAATAACTCAACTTCGGCCTGAAAGTAATCCAAGGATTAGTTAATAGCTCACGAGTGACACATTATCAGGGTATCATATTTTACCAAGTGTAAGCCGGGGCAGAGGCGTCTTAATAATGGCGAATAGAAGAAAGATGATGATATTAGCAGTAAGCTCTAAAATCAAAGAAAGCTGATCCCATGTTATTTTCATCACCTTCCCCATCCAAAGTTGAAATGATCTCTGTTCTCCAAAGGACCGTTAGCCGCAGCCATCATTGACTTGGTATTTGACATGAAGCGCTCGGGATCAAACTTGTCTGGGTTAGGGAACACAGCGGGGTTTCTATGCATTGCATACATGGATGAAATTAGAGTCGTTGCATCCGGGATGTAGTAACCGCGATACTCAACTAGCATCAAAATTTATCAGTAAGCTATTAAATAGACACTTGTTTTAAGTTGTTGATGCTTACATGCTTCGGTAGATACATGAGGAACACCAAAGTTTGTCGTTGTTCGATACCGCATACACTCTTTCTGAACTGAAACCGTATAGTGGAATAGTTCGCGATCACTAAATTTGGGTAGTCGTCCTTCCTTGGCAACAAAGGTATCAATTTCTTCTTGCATACGTGCTTGGATTTTGGGATAACGAACCAAAATAGCAAACGCCCAAGTCAGCGATACAGCTGTGGTATCTGAGCCTGCAACAATCATATCGCCTAATTTTTTTTTAATCATAAGAGTTTAGTGGTCGTGTCTTCTTCAGCAAAGAGATACTTTTGCAAACAGAACTAGATACTGTACTCAAAATCATCGTGACATCCAATTCATCCAAGTGAAGTTTCTCCTTCATATTATCGATCGTTTTGACGAGACAATCTTTTGGTGTCTTCCGTGCTCTTTCGATCAAGATACCCAAAGGTTCATCTCGAAATTCCTTAACAAATGCCTTGAGCTTGCCTTGCCGACCACTGAGTTTATCAATCCATTTGAGTGATGGGAAGAAAGCACCGATATCACCCAAAAGACCAGCATATTTCAAAGTGCGTTCGGCCAAATCAACTAATGTGCGAAACATAGAGTCATCGGTGGATGGCAAGCGTTCAGCAAAGCACGTCAGCATGATGACATTCAAAGTGGCTAACTGAAGTGTTTTCAAAGGATTGATGCTGCCGGCTGTTTGGGTAGCCTTGATCAGCGTTTCAGCCGCTATCTCGGTTTCCTTGCTGATAACGTCGGCGAACTGGTCTACAAACTTGGGTGCTAGGATATCGAGTGCTTATTTTGTTCAAAATAAAAAGCAATATCAGTTTCCATGTTTTCTTGCTAAAACGTATTAATGATAATAAAGTTTTACCGAGTGTTCGTGAATCTTTCCATTTCTTTCCTGCCTTGGCAATCACGACTCCTCTGGTCGAAATAACAAAGAAATTGTGAACAAGGACGTTTCACTTGACAGTCTTCTAAATTCCGTACAAGCTCTCACCTGCCGCCCACACCATAAATATTATGAGAGAAAGTATGCGATGCGCGAGATGAAGTAATTGCACCGCGGTGAACAAATATTTCATGCGCAACTGTTGGATCGTTGATCATAACTGTACGACGCGCTCCCATATATACAGAGAAAAACGGTGCATCTATCTCTGTTTGTTAACTATCCATCCTCTAATATTTACATGTTTCTTTTCACTGTATCTCACCAATTGATTCGTGCCACTTTTGAAGCTGCAACACTGGTCGTTTTCCCATCGTGATTAAATGACCTATCAAAGAGAAGTACAAAGATATAGCTTTTAGTGGATAATGTTTGGTGGAGATGTAGCAAAAATCTGCCTTCCTCGTTGTTCGTTGTATCACTTACCGACAAGTGGGTACCAACCGGGAGCTGTGGGCACTGGTTTCAATCCTTTGCCTGGGTTATCACTTTTTGTTTTTGCATATGCATAAAGGATGATTGCAACAGCAGCAGTGATGCCGGCAACGGTGGGTAGCTTTTCGCGATCGATTTTGGATAAATAAGGGGCAAGGTGATCCATTAGAACTTTACGAGAAAAGGGAAAAAGGAAGAAAGAAAGAAAGATAAAGAAACCTCAGGTTTGAAATCATACCGCGGTGGTCAATTAAAGTATGTAGCACGCGCGCACACACAATCATGCACACATGTTTGGGCTTTGTTGGCTCAGAGGAATATTGGATACTCCAAAGTTTAAGCTCAGTGTCCTGTACAATGGTTCGATCTGTTGTAGTGAAAGTACAAGCGCAGACCCACCTTATCTGGTTCTTCCTTGTGCATTACTCTTTTCTTATTTTACCCTATTTAAAATGTTTATGTCCCCGGCCAACTGTTCTACCTTTATAAAGTGGGGTTGCAGCAGCATGCATTATGGCATACTATCACCTGCATCTTATAGTTCTTCATTGGTTCCACCGCAGTGTTTATTTTGCGTTACATCACAAACACTTAGAGTGGTAACAGACGTGGTACAGAGTAACAGGCTGTTTGGAAACCGGCTTCTCCGCGCTCGACACTATGGAGATGGTGGGCAAAAGAACAACTTATTTTCTGTAGACATTGAGCCAATCACAACAGCATAGTTTTCTTTGGCATCTACCATAAGTAGTTCAGCGCTAAAAAGGAGATGGACTTGTGGAAAGAAAGGTCTTGATGGAATCCGAAAAATAAGCATGGTCATACATGCATATTCCATTGTGTGTTACAGGAGCTTTTTAAGAACGGGAGCTTGTATTATGCTTTTGTAAGACCTGTTAGCATTCATACATATCTACTTAGCTGTCATGGCTAAAGTCGCTGCTACTCTCATGGATACTTGACATCTCTCAGCTGCTCCATAGCAACATCTAGGCGACTTTGAACTCTTAAAAAGAATTTCAGCAACTGCTTCATATTCTGTTACAAAGCCATTTAGACTGCAGTTGTTGACAGCATGTGTCAATATGATGCTCTTTATTACGTCGTGTACACTGGTAAGGGCTGATAGATTGCCAGTTAGCAGTATTGCATGATACTTTCCATCTCTCTTGTAATTTAATTTTATTCACACAACCAAAGCTGGTTGAAGGTTGGTAACAGCTGGTGATAGGAGATTCTTTATAATGTAGCGTCGGGGTGAGGAGGAGGTGCTGCTTGTCAATAAATCATTTATGACAACCCAACTTCTGTCACGGTGGAAACGATCTGCCATTGGCAGTCAACTCTGCCTTGATCTGCGATCTCCCCAAGCATACCAGATCCGTCATGTCGCCCCTTCAACAAACATTCCTTGGCAGCAACTCTCCTTACGATGCGCCGAATTGCCACCAAAAAACGTTCCGTTCGCCGTCATTGAGCCAAGCGATCAAAAACCCGACACGTGCAGTCAGTGGCTAATCGAACGTGGATGGCAATGTCCTTACGTTTTTCGCGAAGACGACGACACGTTCTGGACAGCCGTAGAGCAGTACTCACAGCCCACTACTCCCAAACCTTGGCTCCTGTTCAGACCTTGTCCGTTCTTGATGCAACATATCAATTGGATCGAAAAACAAACACAGCAGCATCGATGTTTGGATATTGGGTGTGGATCGGGTCGTGATGTTGCATGGTTGTTGTCGCGCCAGCCGCTATGGAACGTCTATGCGTTGGACTCGCTCAAGGGAGCTGTGGAGCGAACACATCAGTTGACGAAAAACATGGGCGTTCACGATCGTTTAGTGGAGTGCCTACAAGCCAAGATCACTTCGGAAGGGAAATGGAAAACATTTGATGAAGATAGTCCAGCTGTCACTGCTAAGAATAATACCACTGCTACTGCTGGTACCTCCCCTACTTCTGGCACTACCACCACTATCAACAATACCATTGCTATTACAAACGGCGATATTGACGATAAAAGTAGAAGATTCTCCCCGGGGGTATCTACAGATACATTCTTTCAGGATAAATTGGGGTGTTCGCAGTTCGACCTGATTCTCACGATCCGGTTTCTGGTGCGCTCGCTCTTGCCGCAGCTACCACAGCTCCTTGCAGTCGGCGGATACCTGGTTATTTCTCATTTCGTGGAGGACGGCGTGCACGAGTATGAACAACCCCGCAAAGACCATCGGCTCCAACTGGGAGAATTGGCGGCACTATACGGATCGATGGCTAACATTGAAATAGTAGTGGACGTTATCGAACAGATAGAGGACGGAAGGCCGGTAAACTCTGTAGTAATAAAAAGGACGGGGCCGTAAATGTATTATAGTTTAGCGAGTTTGTTGGGAGAGCAAGGGAAAAAGGGGGGGTATATTCAGTGCGGAAAAGCAAAAATTATAACGTATCGGACAAATGGTTAAGCGCTGCACCGGCATCACGTCTGATTGGCTAGCTGCATCGTAAGCGTCACATGAATAGTCTTTGCTATTTCTGCGGGGGGGAGATTAAAGTGGGATAAAATGGCGTATCTCTTTCGATTACTTCTCGTACCTGTACTACTTTTCACTCTATACCACTCTTTCAACATGGCCGCACAACGTAAACTCTGCATGATTCCTGGTAAGTGTATATTAACATACGACCTGTGCTTAGCTGGAAGGAGCCCGTGTGTCTTTGGACCAGTGCTGGGAGGGGGGCGGGAAAGGCAAAAAGGAGTAAATTACTAATGGTTGGTAAAAACAACGAACGCGCGTTCAAACTTCTGGGGTGTAGGTCCCATCGAGTTCCATGAAGATGTCTTGGCATCGATGGCTACGCCTGCCACCTCGCACGTCGACCCTCTCTTCGTTCCCGTCTTTGGCGAAACCATCGAAATGGTCCGCAAGGTCGTGTTGTCGGAAAAGGCCCAGCCCTTCGTCGTCTCTGGCTCTGGCACTCTTGGCTGGGACATGATGGTCAACTTGATTGAGGCTGGCGATGAAGTTTTGGTTGTGAACACTGGCTACTTTGGTGATCACTTTGCTGAATGGTAAGAAAGGATCAAATAGGGCCTGACTTGCTTTGCTCTGCTTTCGTTATTGACGATACCATGCCTTGTTCCATAGCTTGGAGACATATGGCGCCAAGATCACCCACTTGCGCGCCGAAGTCGGTAGCCGCCCCTCCAACGAAACGATCAAGCAGGCCGTTTCTACAAAGAAGTACAAGATGGTGACCGTGACGCACGTTGACACCTCGTAAGCAGATTGCCAAATAGGGTTTAGGTACGCAGACAGAGCGGGGCCACTAAAATTATTTCGCACTAGCACTGGCGTCTTGGCGGACATCAAGAGCGTGGCTGAAATTGTCAAGGCAGCTTCGCCCGAGACCTTGGTTGCGGTTGATGGTGTTTGCTCGGTCGGCTCGGAAGAAATCCGTTTCGATGAATGGAACTTGGATATCGTCATCACTGGCTCGCAGAAGGGTCTTGGTGTCCCTCCCGGTCTTTCTATCGTCGTTGCTAGCCCCCAGGCCATTGAAGTCTTCAAAACCCGCAAGAGCGCCATTCCTTCATACTACTCCAACTGGAACAAGTGGCTGCCCAGTAAGTTTGGTGCTACAAAAAAGGATGAAAGTGTTCAGGAGGGAAGAGAGAGAGAGAGGGGGGGGGAGGTTGAGCACGGGAATCCATGCATGCTAATTCGAAGGTTTATCACTACTATTACCCAATTCTGTTTAGTCATGAACGCGTATGAGGCACGCAAGCCCGGCTACTTTGCCACTCCCGCTGTGCAGTTGATCTATGCGTTACACACATCCCTCAAACAGATCACCAGCCAACCCATGGAAACGCGTTTCGCTAAACACCAGCAGGTTGCTTCCAACTTCCGCAAGACCATCAAGGATCTGGGTTTGAAGCAAGTAGCACAATGTGAAGAGTGCTCTGCCAACGGCATGACTGCCGTCTGGCTCCCCGCCGGCGTCAGCGTCCCTCAGTTAGTGCCTGCTTTGGCCGCCAAGGGCGTGCAGATCGCTGGTGGTCTGCATGTTAAGCACGCAAGCGAATACTTCAGAATTGGGTAAGTTCTCAAAGACATGCACACTATGAGGTGTCACTTACTAAAGAGCAATGGACTGTAAATAGACACATGGGTATTTCGGTGATGGAGGATGATCGCAAGCATATCCAAAAGGTCGTAGATGCACTTACCAGCTCTCTTACTGAGCTTGGCTATCAGAAGGCCTAAAAAAGTTAGTAAAAAGTAAAGTTTCAAAATGTCAACCTGACGTATTTGCCTTTGATGTTTTGGAGCAACAGAGAAAGAAAGAAAAAAAGAGCATGGTTTTTTATTATATTTTTGCATGAGTACATGCTGCGTGTGTATGAAGGCGGAGTGATTTGAGCGGGCTGGATGTGTGAAGGATATATTTTTACCAGTTTGGATATATTGGCAACGGAAAATCCTTATGTAAGGCCCGGTTTGGAGCGTTGTTTGTCGTCTACCCCGCAAACATGATCCGTGAGCATACAAGGGTGGAACGTGTCAGGTAAAAGAGAAGAAATCGATAAGAGAACGAAACCTGGGTCGCATCGCATGAAACGAACGAGGGAGAGAGCAGGGAGAGGAGAAGATACCCGCGTTTCCCTTTCCGGGCAATGTCAGCTTTTTTGTCAATCGCCCAAACCTGCATATCGTGAAACTATGCTTTCTTTTGATGGATTGTATATAAACCCAGGGTTTTTTTTTGCTTCCTACTTTCTCTTCCACCTCGATCCGACATTGATATCCATCTCCGTACTCCCTCTACTCTTTCCTCCCGGGTACAATCCAAATAACCACACTACAAGATGTATGTCCTCTGTAAATTATTATACATTACCGTCTTTGCCCTCTTATCTGCCGCACAGTCCTATTTGCCACTGTACTATCACGATGTCATCAAGTTTTCCTCGGATCAAATAGGCTTCGTCATTGCCATTGCACCCTGTATCCAGTCTATCGCATGTCCCATCTGGACCTACTTGGCCGATAAGCGGCCTAAGCTACATGGTATCACCATGGCACTCACCAGCTTTGTCGGTGGAATCGCAGTCATGGGGATCATGGGAGTCGGCCACTATGTACAAAACAATAGCCAGCAGGAGGAAACCACCTTGCGCAGTATCTCTACCAGCAGCGACGGCAACGGCAACAATGGGAACGTTATGCTTCTCATTTGTGCATTTGCAATAGCATTTGCCTTCTTTTCCCTCCCCAACACATCCATGGTGGACAGTGCTGTCATGAAGATTCTCGGGCCCAACAAAATCCTATATGGTAAGTGCTTCTCGCCTTTTTCACATCTGCATATCTGCATGAACAAGTGGGAAATTCACAAAAAGCTTAAATACATCGTATCCAAATCCCATAGGCGAACAGCGATTATGGGGCTCTATTTCGACTGGATTGACCATCCTGGCTGTAGGCATGCTCATCTCTGCTACAAACAACCTGGACAGTCTGTTCTGGGTGTTTGCTGGATCGACGGTCTGCTTCATGGTCTGTTCTGCATTTGTTAATGTGCAGGCACCCACTGGGGGCCCTGTACTACCACCTAGAGATGAAGAGGAAACAAGCAGACTGGTACCACCCAATACGGACACTACCTATTATGTTGACCTCCGCAAGGAGCTTTCGCAGCACGATGTAGATACTGACGATGACGAAGACGAAGCAAGCTACCTCACTGCACCACACTACAATCAGCGTCTGCTCAAGCTCACAACGACGACATCCATGGCCAGAACCTTGCGTGAAGAAGCCAACGATGCGATCGACTCAATATCGGGTCTCAACTTGGGTCTCGCTGTCTCCCGGGTAATGTCCGTCGAGCATGCCATGACCGGCATCTTGGAGGAATCAGCGTCTATTCAAGCACCTTCTGGTTCAATGTTCAAATCAGTTCGTGTGATGACGTTCCTCGCCACAACTCTGCTTTTTGGTCTTGTCCTGTCTATCTGCATCAATTTCCTCTTTATCTTCTTCAACCAAAGTCTACATATGCCTGCGTCGTGGATGGGATGGACCGGCCCGATCGGAGCTATTACCGAACTGCTATGTTTCTGCTTTGCTAAGCAGGTAAGAAGAAAAAAAGATGTTATTGTTTTTGTGTGTTTGAAGGAGACCGGACAGCTACTGAACCTTCTTTCTTAATATTGATTTTTTTTGCACTTGATTGATAGATGACTGAACTCTGGGGCGTGACCAATTTGATTATCGGCGCCCATGTTGTCACCATCATTCGATGTATCGCATACACTTTACTCGTACCAGACTCTGTTTTCAGTCACTGCGCAGGCTTGCTATTACAAACGATGCACGGGATCGGTTTTGCCGTGTTTTGGGCTACAGCTGTCAGCGAGATGGACAGTTTGTTCCCACCCGAGCAACGCGCTGTCGCTCAGGGTTTGCTTGGTGGATTGAACCAGGGGCTCGGCATGGGTCTGGGCGCACTGATTGGCGGCTACATTGATGCCTATCTAGGCACCATCTGGATGTTCCGCAGTGCAGCATTGCTCTGTGTGCTGAGCGCTGTGATCTTTTGTATTGGACGACTTCCCCGTTTTGAGACCTAAAAAAAGTAACAGAGAACCCCAGCCTCTATACACTCTTCCTTGCTATAAATAATAAATTAATCATTTGTCCTCATTTGAGTCTTGAGAGCAACTTTTACAGAGAACTGCTTCCACTGTTTCCAAATAGTACGTACCGGTTGCTCGAAGGAGCTTATGTTTGAAAAGAAAAAAGGCATTTCCTGTTTCTGTCTTTGCTTTGGGGCAGCATCGTTTTGACTGCTCTGGCACATTCTGTCACTTGGTCGTTATCGTCATTTTGTAGTATGGCTATATACACGGTCAGATAGAGTCAATTTCTGGATGGTATCGACTACTGTAGCCCTCATGGCATTTCTTAGGATATGGCCCTGTTACAGAGGAAAGCTGTAAGGCAGAAAAATAGTGGGAGGAGGAGGAGGAGGAGGCAGGGTAGAAAGTCAGAAGATGGCGCTGTGTCACCAAGTTAATGCATCCTGTAATTGTGTGCACATCGCACCGCTTTGTCTGCTTGTTAACATCACAATAAAAGTATTGTCGATTTTGACACCCGCCCCACATCACCTTTTCTTTCTTTTTCTTTCTCCTCTCCCTTCCTTTTTGTTTTTCTCTCGCTTGGGTAAATGTCGCCATGGACACAATGAGCAAATGAGCAAAGCGTTGGTTGTTGACCTTTGATGTCCGATTTTCCTTGTTACTGTAGCAGCTATACATCATAATACAGTACGAACCATGGGATGCTGCGTCTCAGTAGACGGTACAGGCGATCATGGAGCCAGAATGCGCAACGACGAAATCGACGACCATCTTCGAATGGAAAAGCTGAATATGCAGAACCAAGTCAAGCTATTATTACTCGGTAGGAAACTCAACCAGATAAAAAGCATATGCGTTTCTCACCCTTTGACTATGACACGCGAATATAGGTGCTGGTGAATCGGGTAAATCGACCCTACTAAAGCAAATGAAGCTTATCCATGAAGGCGGGTTCTCCTTGGACGAGCGTATGGCATATCGCGAAATTATTTACAGCAATACAATTCAATCGATGCATGTCATTTTGGATGCTATGGACGGTTTAGGTTTAGCATTCAGCAACGAAGCATCACACAAGGCCGCCGATCATGTAATACAACAGCCAGCGGAAATGATAGATGAGGCGCCCATGCCGGCCGACCTGGTCTCCGCCATCCAGGCCCTGTGGGTCGACCAAGGTGTTCAAGAAGCCGTACGTCGTCGCAACGAGTTTCAACTGAACGACTCTGCATCTTAGTAAGTACCTCATTTACGCACGTCAACGCGAACGAAGGAGAGCTAATGATCGTCTGATATGAACAATAAAAAACCAGCTATTTTGAGTCGATGGATCGGATTGGCAAACCGGATTATGTCCCGAGCGACCAGGACGTTCTTCGCTCACGCGTCAAATCAACGGGCATCACTGAAACTCACTTTCGACTGGGAGACCTGACGTATCGAATGTTTGATGTCGGTGGCCAGCGCTCCGAACGCAAAAAATGGATCCACTGCTTTGAAAACGTTACATCCGTCATATTCATGGTCGCCATTTCCGAGTATGACCAAGTACTCATCGAAGACGAATCAGTCAACCGTATGGACGAAGCATTGACGTTGTTCGACTCGATATGCAACTCACGCTGGTTTGAAAAAACATCGATTATCCTGTTCTTGAACAAAACCGATCTGTTCAAGGAGAAGTTGCAACACTCAAAATTTTCCAACTACTTTCCCGACTATCGACACAACGACACCGATTACGATACTACCAGTAAATACATCATGGAACGCTTCAAATCGCTCAGCAACCACACGGCCGAGAAGCAGATTTACACGCATTTTACCTGTGCCACAGATACTGAGCAGATTCGCTTTGTCATGACCGCCGTGAACGACATTATCCTCCAAGCCAACTTGCGCAACGTTGGCCTACTCTGATTACTATAATGATATTCTGTTTATACCACTGCCACATAGCCTTCCCTTATTCTCATCCTGTATCTCCGAAGCCTCAAAAGCCCTGTCCTTTTCGCCACGTCTCCATCCAGTCGAAGCACGTTTCTTCTCTCTAACTCACCCCCTGTCCCTTGTTTATGCGTTTTAATCTTCATCAGGCGACATCCTTTATTATACACATATTACCATATACCATATACAGCTCACAATAAGAGAAACAGAATTAGTAGATGGTTAAAGTTCAGGGATACCTGCTTTGCCGCTTGGGTAACCAAAATAAATATGTATCTTGTCATTCGATTACCTGCACATAATAATTGCTTTTATTATTCTATCCCAAATCGTCCACGCGCTCTGTCATATTTGTATGCTGCTTCTTTGTTTGTTTCCCACGCCTTCTTTAACAAGTGCATAGCATTTACTGTGATGAAACGCTTTTTGCTCCATCCGTCAATTCTCTACTACATCACCTAACCTATCCGAAGGATCACATATCTTCGTCCAACTGCCGTGGCTCATGACATACCAAATAAACAACGACGCACACGATTACATTGAGTTTCTTGAGAATTTAGAGTAACTCTCTATTACAATGCGAATAAAAAACAAAGCAGAGTTCATTTGCACCAAGCATTATGGTAGTATTCTAAACAGCTTTCGCAACTTTGATGACGTGAATCTAGATTACTGTATTTCGAGTTACAAAGCCGGTCATGACGCAATATTTAAGCGTCTCCTTCATATAAAAGAGTTTTTTAATTATACCCAGAGAGGAACTGGACAACACGGGGCTCACATCATGTAGAAAGTCCAGACCCTTTTCGATACAGTATCATAAATTAACCCATGATTTTTCGGGCAAGCAGGCTCATATGATCTAGTAGTAATCTACTTACAATAACGTGTTATAAATTTTACCCAAGCAATACAGAGAGAATGCTTATTGCGTTACTGCATCATTCTCTCTGACGAGGATAGCTGGTAATAATGCCTGCTGATGTTAAACAAGAAATCACTGCATTCAAACTATGTACTTTGGCAACTATGTATGACTTTTCTGCATGTCGCCTTACATAGTATGTACAATAGCTCATATAAGTGAAAACAAATTGCAGCAATCCACGGTGATGTTTCTTACTATCTTTTCATACTATTTTCTATATATTTATGTGCTGCACTATGTAAGAGTATTCACTTACTCTCACGAGTTCTGAACATTAGAACGGCAACAATAGGTTTTTTATACGTACATCCATCGTATGTTGTATACAAATGACTCTAGCTTTGTCAGTCAAGGCGCCATCGCTACAGCATTTTTTTATATTAACAAAATTAAAATAAGACACTCAATTATTAATTGGTGTATGTATGGCAGAATCTAAATGCCTTGCTATCGACAAGTGAACAGGTGCTTTTATTCTTATTATAGAGTACTATATATATTATGTAATCTTTTGTTTCGTTTTAAATTTGTTGACGTGGTAACAGCAATAGTGAAGAGAAAGGCCATGCTCTTCCTTTATAAATCCTCATCGGAATCTTGCTCTTCTAAAGCAGACGCTGAAGCCGACTCGTCGGAATCACTATCATCATCGTCCTCTTCTTCTTCCAGATCCGTATTCTCATCAGAATCACCTGCCTCTTCCTGCTCGGCATCTTCATCGTCATCATCCAGATCTTCGTCGTGATCGTGACGTACAAATCGCAGTTGGTATTCACCGGGTGTTACGACGTTTCCATTAGAGAGAACGTTGTCAATATCGACTATTACAGGGTCTCCCTTCTCGTCGCGTGCTGGTTCGATAGAGCAGTTGGCCAACACTCGAACCAAAACATTAAACATTTGAGCTTCAGCCTACATTAATAAGATTATACCGTTAGAATTTTGATCTAACTTGATAAGTGTTTATGAAGAACATACCAAATGGGCTCCAGGGCATACCCGTCTAATAATGGAAAAGTTGTTGTCAAAAAGTGACGAAAAACATGCATTTCATGACATGATATAAGCGATTTTTACCTTCCCCATCCAAAATTGAAGTGATCACGTTGCTCCACTTTCGCATTTGCGGATGATGCCATAGGAGCTGTGTGATCCAAAAATCTTTCAGGCATGAATTCTTCGGGGTTCTTGTAACTAGACAGATTCGTATGCATTGAGTACATGTTGGTGACAATAGTTGTGCCAGCAGGGATGACGTGATCTCGCCAAGTAACTAACAGTAATGACAACTATTAGTCGCTCATCCTCTCTTTTGAATCCTCATCCCAAGTAACGTTTTACCATCCTGTTCAACTTCATGAGACTCCCCAAAAGGCGTTGTGGGTCTAAACCGCATGCATTCCTTTTGTACAGCAACCAAGTAAGGGAACGCGTTTCTCTCTGAGAAGTCAGGCAGACGTTGGTACTCTGAGATAAAATCAGCCAACTCTTCTTGAATTTTTTCTTGAGCTTCACATTGTGTGGACAGCACAGCAAATGCCCATTGCAATGTGGCTGCCATGGTTTCTGTTCCAGCCGTTACAAGGTCGGCTATATAATTCAATTTAATAGGACGTTCAGGTATCATAGGCGGTGATCAGTAAGCTTAGAATAAAGGTATTGGCTATTACCTGCAGTGACCAAAATATCATCGTCATCCAATTGCCCCATCTCTTTCATATCAGCCAAAGACTTGACGACACATTCTTCGCCGCTCTGCAACGTCTCCTTAATCAGTCTGCGATAAAGGGGATCTCTCTCTTTCTCAATATACTCCTTGTATGCGTCTTCAGTTTTAAAGAAGGCTGCGTCCAAAAACGAAAGAGCTGGGAGATAGGTTGTGAAGTTGTTGCGGATACCTGTGAACGAATTGCCACGTTTCAGCACAGCTGAAAGCTCCTCGTATAAAGCGTCGTCTTTTTTCTTTTGTTCTTCTTGCTCCTTTGTATTATTTTCTTGATTCTCCTCTACTTGATCATCATCGTTATCAGTAGGAGTGCTACTGGTGCTGCGGCCAAAGCATGTAATCAAGACAAAGTTGAGTGCTGTGCGGAAAAGCACGTCAGCTGGATCGATGTTCTCTCCAGTGGCCAGTGCATCGACTAAACGGTCGACTTGATCGTCCAGCAGCACCGCAAATCGTTCATCGTTCAGCTTTTTAGGTCCAAGAATGGCATTTGCTATTTGAAGTTATTTCTTCTGCTTTAGCCACGCCCTTTTGTATATAGGAGGAGTTGAGGTTTTTCTCCTGAAAATCTTACCCACAGTGCGCACCTGGCGCCACGACTTGGTAGGACCCGAGGAAACCAAGCCCCTAAGAAGATAAAAATTGTTGTCAATTTTTACGGCTCGGTATTCAATCGGCGAGAAGAATGTCCAAAACATTTTACCTTCCATTCATGCTACGGTATTTCGTCGTCAGTAGAGTAAACGGTCTGCCTGATGTCGAGTTTTGGCTGGCAACAAGAAGCTCTTGAGCAATATGAGGGTCGCTTATCATCAGCCATGTTTTCACACCCATTTGAATCCGAATAACGGGTCCTAAAGGTGGTGGTGACCCCAATGGATCTCCTATTAGTATTTCTCCTTTCTTTACCCCATCATGCACACTGACAAAGAGGGAGACTTCTTTAAACAAACCTAATTCTTGATGCCACTGCATGAGCTGGATAACAGGCTGGCTACCCAAAAAAAATAAATGTCCTATATGTGGTTTTTCATATTGCAAACGTGTGGGTATCAGAAAGGTAGATTCTACTATCTTCATTGCAGTATTGTCACTCGGGTTGCCCAACTTTTCATAAACGTACCCGCATAAGGAAGCGGTGCACTTGGTGATGGAATTCCTCGTAATCCAGGCGGAACATTGTTTATTGAATCCTGATAGTACCGACGATAAAAGGCATAGGCAGTCAAAGCGGCAGCCGTGACTGCACTAGCAAATGGAAGCACGCGGTCCTTGTGTAGGCTAGTCAAAGCGTCATCCGATATAATGTCCATTTTCTAAGGGAGTGGTCTAAAAAATGTGTAAAAAAGAAAGAGAAAGATATTATTACAAGTCTAGTGTTGTATAATTTATATAAACCGAGTCTATCCCCAAGTCCTTCAAAATGTACCTTCTCCTTGCTGTTCCTAGCGTCGTCTAGGAAGAAGGGAGAACAATCTTTACCGAGTTGAAAAAAGCAATGTGGTATGTATCTCACTTCTTGTCTTTTAGGTCACGAGAGAGTAGCAAGAAGTACTATTAAGGCTATATACAATAACTACCATCATATCTTTTAAGCGTCCTACAATATGTAGCAATCGTAATTGTTCATTTATATCAAAGAGCGATTAAACATCCTTGATCCTGATGAAATTGGCGTACGATGTAGTATTGTTTACTTTAGGGTTTCTACTCATGGCTTCTTTACCCCCCCCCCCACCCCTGTTCCCGGTTTGGGGCGTTTGCATCCTCGTTCTTGAAGATTATATCAAGACTTGATAAGCTTTAAACCAGCTCCTCTTTTGCCATGCTAAGGCTCTCCTAGGATCCTCAATGGCGGGGAGGCCCATATTTATGGGGTATCTTCAATCGCCAACCTGGTATCTTGTTAAAAATGCCATTGATGTGTTTTCATGCAGCAGTAGCATTTGATTCTGGGGAAGTCTGTTGTACATGAACCAGCGTCTGCTTCTAAAATACAATATAACCACATACTTTGAAACAATGGAAATATGTACAATTTCTTCATATGATAGTCTGTTGGGAAACGATGATGTTGCTACTGTGCACGGTTGTGGTACCATAAAAAGACAAAACGTGCTGTTTTCCACCACAGCTATTAAGAGCAACACGATAAGTGACATAGTGAACCTAAATATTATTCCGCCATATAAATTTACCAGATGGATTGATGGGAAACTAGCGATAATCGATGCCAAACAGGGCACAGTTTATATATCTTTCTATAGGATTGTCGTCGTTCTTCTCAGACGCAAAATCATACGACGACTGCTTGCAAAAGAGCGTTGCAGTATTCATTTTTTTGTAACACAACTAGTCCTGAGATTCGGTTGATTGGGTACAAACTATTAATGGCATCCGCTCTCTCAATACAAAGACATAACCATGCATGTAAACCCGCCGGGTGTAACATTGTGTGTTACAAGTATTGCTTGGCCATTCGTGCTTGCTCATTGTTGGCCGAAGGAAAGCGGAAGAAGTCTTTGGTAATTGTACGTTTTTACGCCACTTTCATTATGGGGTCAACATATCCTACAATTATGTGAAATATGTGAAATAGATTTAACAGAAGCATTAGAATGATGTAGTATCACCGGTGTAGACGGGCGGTGTAAATAACAACCTTGTGTGTGACCTTGTCTACATGTGTGCTACCGTGTGATTCAGTGAAATCAGGGTTTGAAGCACGGGCAGGCTTTTTCTTTCTCTTTAGCTTTCCCTTCCTTCACCCTCCTTTTTTTCCCCTTGTCAATTCCATATAAACATGCCTCTGTTCCGTAGCCCTTGGTGGAATAACCGGGATCCTGCGTTTGTTTCTGCAGCAAGCGCGGCAGCAGCCGTAGCATTGGCGTTGATCATTGCCTACAAACAGCAAAAGCGCATAGCAGCTTCCAAACACCATCCGGAATATAAAGAGATTTCTTCACCTAAAGGAAGATACCCTCTTTTTGGTAACTTCTTTGCACTTTTTAAGAAAAAAGCAGTAAATTTACACGACCTTAAGAACTCATATACAATATAAAAAAGGACATCTTCTTTCCATAAAGCCGGACGTGTCGCTGTCACAGCAGCTCACAGGCTGGCATAATGAATTTAATAGTACGTTATATGCTTCTGCACAGCAACTGCTAATGAAACTTCGTGTAACAAATAACAAACCAACGCACTTACCATCACCACCATCACCATCCACAGCTCCTATCCTTCAACTTGATATGGGTATTCAGAAATGGATTTCGCTTAACGACCCCAAGATGGCTCATGAAATATTTGTAACGAATGGTGCCATTGCGTCGTCCAGACCGATTATGGCATTTACTTACAAAAACTATGCACTGGGTGGAAAGTTAGTATAGACCGAGCCTCTTCTATTTTTCTGAAATATGATATGGAGTCAAATGACGATCGATTCTAATTTATGAGTGTATCCAAATAGAGGTGTTGTTTTTACTAAGGCTGGTAAAAGCTGGCGAAACACCAGAAAGGCAGGCAAGTCCTTACTCACACAGCACCAGAAACGCCTAAACACGCATGCACATTCTAATGGTAATATTACATCATCACCTACATTTTTTGTAAACAGTGTTGACCATTTTGGCGCCAAAAATGGTGGACGGATTTCGTGTTGCCATCGATCAAGAAGTCGACTATCTCATAGCCAACTTGACTAAAAATTCGGACCCCACCACCGGTGTCAATCCTGTCAAATGCTTGCAACTTGCATCCCTCAATTTGATTCTCGCAACGTGTTTTGCAAAACGTGCCAAGAGCATTGATGATCCCCTGTTCAAGGAAATTGTCCAATATGTTGAGGATAGCGTTAGCTATGGCAGTCCTGCTAATGACCTTGCAGCATACGTTCCAGTCATGAAGGTCCTCGATTTGTTTACAGGAAAGAAGAAAAAGGCAGAAGGTGAACGCTTGATAGGAATAAGAGATACTCTCTTTAAAGCCATGATTAAGGAGGCCAAAGAGTCAAACACAGACTCATTCATCAAGACCCTGTACGAAATTAAGGACGAGCATGAGCTTGATGACAATGATATCATGGTCACCATGAGTAAGTGATTATATGTACTTTCCGTAAAGTTTCTTCTAAACATGAGCTTGATATTAATTTGACAATTCTTCTTCAGGCGACTTGACCATCGCTGGAACTGATACGACAAGTGTCTCATTATCTTGGGCTTTTCTCATTTTGATGAACCGCCCTAACGTACAGAAAAAAATACATGCAGAGCTCGATGCATTTGTGGCGGAGCATAACCGGGCTCCAACATTTGACGATCGATCGCGTCTTCCATATCTTGTAGCTGTGCAAAAGGAATGTATGCGATTCCGTAACATTACCGAGATTGGAATGACGCACGTCACTGACGAGGATAGTAAGTTGCAAATGGCTGGGTAGTTTCTCTTATTGGTTGCCTGAAGGACGACTGTGTACTCGAATATTAACGTGACACTACTTTCCCACATCTTAGTCGAATGTCAAGGATATATCATTCCCAAGGGTGCAATCGTTATGTGCAGTAAGTAGTTCATATACATTGAGCGATTCATCGATCAGCCACTACAGTACGATGATGAACATAGAAACGTTTATGGTGTTGATAAATGCTAATATGTGGTGTGGCTGTTTGCTTAGATATGAACGGTGTCCACTTGAATTCCGAAGTATTCCATGATCCAGAAGAATTTATTCCTGAACGATTCCTGGACTCTCAGTCTACTATGTATGCTGCTGCTAACGGTCGATTAGAAAACAGGGATCATTACCAATTTGGATGGGGAAGGTATTGAACGACGGTCTTTTCCTGTTACTAGATAGAACTTGAAAGTGAAATGAAGATTAAGAAACGTTTTACTAAATGTATACAACAATTTTAGACGCATTTGTCCAGGCATTTATCTCGTAAGTCTTTAATATGATTCCATGCACATAGCATACCTGTTTTCTCATCATTGGTAATTCGTTTTATCCCCTTGGGGATCCTAGTCCGAGACCGAAATGTTCATTGCACTGATCCGAGTTTTTGTCGGCTACTCACTTGAGCCACCTCTGGATCAGCAAGGTCGGTCAATTAAGCAAGATGACTCGAAAGCTGTGAGTGCGGGTATTGTAGTCACTCCTGCCCCATACAACGTTCGCTTTGTTGAGCGCTCCGAACGTCCTCGTGGTATTACGCCTGTAAACTAACAATGAGCTTCCACGTGTATTAATGTATAATGTGATCAAACGCTATTATCTCTATGTACCCAATACAGTATATCTTGTATATTATGATAAAGCTTCCATGAAATAGTTTTATGTATTCATTTGCATTGTTTATCATATTCAATCAAATTCGTTATACAGTACAGTACTGTACTGTAAATTGCTTTTATACAGTTCATGTTGCTATATAGTTTTCTGGTGCCACGGAAATATGAGAATGAACCCAATGAATCCATATCAGACAGATTGAAAAAGAACGCCTCCAGTTGGTGCATATTACTCTTTATCATCACATTACACAAACTCAAACAATAAAGGCATTCATATAGTGACGGAAAATCTTCAGGTTTGAAACCATACATGCCTCCATGACCATCATCGATATGCAAGTCAACCACTCTATCTTCATTCCTCAATCATACAGACCTGTTGTCCTAAATAAATAAGTGCATAAGAATAATAGCCTAGATATTGCCACTAGAAGGTGCCAACCTTTTCACATCAGTTTGATCGTGCCTAAAAGGAGTATCACCAAGCTTTGCTGCCAGCATTGATAACACAATTACCGTCGGCGCGGAAGGACGTCCAGGTTTCTGGAAGCAATTAGCAAGAGTGGGATCGGTGATATCCAAGTATCATTTGTTTTCATTTAATCTCTTTCTGCCAAAACAGTTTCCACTACTGCAGATCATTTTACAAGAACATATTTTGTTGTTTAAGCTTTGTTATCACTTATAAAGCGGACACGTTAATGCCATTATTAAACTATCGCACCATAAGGATTGTACCTAACGCTGTTTGGACAACATAGTTGGAGCCGTGCACAACACATTATCTATATAACTTTTAACCGTAATATGATACGCTACCCGTCAAATCATACAGCTCGAGTTCTGTGATAGAAAATAACGGTTATCGTGATAAGCAGCTGGAGATTTAAGCCGATTATTGACGTTTGCATTTTCATGCGCTATTGGAGGGATTAAGGAGGGGCTGCGGCACGTATTAAGTAAATCTGGGTAAAGAGCTACTCAGCTCTCGTCTTCTTTTTAACCCATTCTACATTCCTGCTGTTAGGGTTGAAAACACATACACTTAAGAACTGCTATAAACCTGAAGCAAAAAACATGTCTACTACACCCGAAATCACTCAGAAGCGAAGGGACGATCATGGGGTCCAATTACGTCGCCAAGGAGCAGCAACAGCATTACAACAATATTCAGTGCTTGCACTCCATTCCGTCCGCGATGTCGAGGTTAATATCATATTAAGAGCATTGCGGAATCACAACTGAGAAATATGTAGACAAGAGAGAGACAGAGGGGGCAAGCAAACCAGAGAGAAGAAAGCTAACTAACATATGCGTGCATACTTACAGACACCCGCACGGACACGATTAAAAATGATGTGGTAAAGTTTTGATTCCGTACTTGATTGTACATCTCAGAAGGTTGAATAGGCCCACTCACACGCATCGAATTTTTTACCATTTTTAAAGCATATTGACCGATATTCCATCCCAACCCAAGCACTACAAGATGCGCAAAAGCAGCAAATAAACCCTTTCTTTCTTCTGCTAATGAAAGAGTTCAATAGGAAGGGGGCATATACACATTTCTTTTACTCTTGGTGTGGAATTGAGGGATGAGGGGTAATGATTTGTTTTACATGCAAGCAAAGAAAAAAAAAGAAAGAGTTAGAGCAGCCGAGGGACCATCGATGACAAAGTGCTCGTGTCCATCCACTACTTTATGAGAACAAGGGTTCACATTTTTCGGTAAGAACCAAGAGACATTTGATATATTCAATCAAGGCCTGGGGTTGCTCTTCTGGTCCGAGAATGTCAGCAACGGTCCATGACGCCAGTTGACCGGCCGTGATATTCAAGTTGGTTCGGAAAGGCTCATCGTGGTTTGTGTAAAACACCTGAAGATCATACCAGACCTGGCCCTTGCCGGTCAACCCTGCAATCTTTTCAACGCCATAGCCAGCATTGGGCTGAGGTCGTAGCGGCACACGCTCAACGCGAGTAATTTCAATGACAAACGGGAAGTGGATCCGGTATACAGTCTTCTGTTTGTGCAGGATATGGTCGACCTTCAGAAAATCGCGAACGTTTTCAAAGGTCATTTGGTTCGTGATGGGGCTATTGGTTTTCCAGAGATATTCTGTTAAAGCCGGCTTCTTTTCCTTTCATGGATTTAGTACAACATATAAGAAAACGTACCATACTGCAACTTTCTTAATAAAGGTGTTGTACGGCTTCACGTCTACCCGACATAGCTCTTGCGTAGATAGCGACATCTGAAAGTCGAACTTTCTGTATATATCCATAAATATTATAGTTAGCGGTTGAGTTGATACACGCCCCCTTCCCCTTTTCAACACCAAAAGAAAGAAAAACGTTTTACCGATCCAAAGACACCCAGTCAATCTCAGTGACCTTTTGTTGACGAGTGATCACTTTCTTTAGTTCAACAATGCCTTGGTTCATGATCATCACTACAGGCTTGTACTCAAGGGCAGGCTGGTTACGTGCTTGACAATGAATTTCAAAGAATCCAGTATGCCTGAATGGTCGGGGTAAAATATCGGAAATGGTTGCAATGATATCCTCAGAGGCGGTTGTACTAACGGAGACATGTTAGAATCTCTTTTAGCTATCAGGCCTCCTCCTCACTTGATTCCATCTACCAAAGAGTAAACCCTACTCTAGCCCCCTCCCGTAGTGACAACGACTGCTTACACGTCATTGAATACAGGCTTGACACCGTGCTCTTTGACAACAAGGTCTTTGATATCTCCAAACTCCCAGATCTTCTTCTGGATTTCGTTGGAAAGATTTGTCCATAACACCTTGCCAAGCCTATTATAGATCAGGTCCTCATGTTAGAAGCTTATCTACGCATATAACATGAACGAATAGCCATAAGAAAAAAACCTACTTTGCTTCTAGTCGAATTTCACCCTTGAAACTACGTAAACCTTCCAATCTGTATATTTCCATAGATATTAGAATGTGATCTTGTTGAAAAACCAGAGGCTCAAAAAGAAAATATAAATTATAACTTTACCCGTCCGTCAAAGCAGTTTGGATGTTATGCAGGTTATACTCCTTGGCCCTATTTTTATACACGATTTAAAAACGTCACTCCATTTTTAATTATCCATCAAGTTCATGAGCACATATAGAATAGTGAAAAAAAAAGAGGGAACTTACATTTCTAAGAGTGATCGTTCGGGTTGCGATGGCTCAGGCGTGTTTTTTTGATTCGTTAGCCGTAGAATACGACGTTGTTGAGGTTGGCCTGATGCTTCTCTGACAGGCACATATGCCTTACGCGGAGCGCCTGGCAATGCTGGGAAGTCTTCCTCAGGCGATCGAGGTTGTTGCTTTTGTTGTTGCTGATACGACATTGAATTCGAAGGAGAAGGGGTAGTTGGAGAGGTAGAGGATGGCGATGATGGAGTATATGAAGGTGGAGCATAGTTATTGATAAAGCCTCGGTTTTCGCCCCAAAGAGGCGCTTCAGGCGTTACGGGTGTACTGGTATTGGCAGGATTTGGACTGTGAGACATTGTTTGACGTTGAGGCTGAGGCTGTTGTTGAGGTTGAACCCAAAGGGGCCGAGGAGGAGTTGGTGCCTGCACGGGCGGTGGCATAGGCCCTTGTCGGGCCGGTGCGTCAAGCAAATCCTTTGGTTTTTGAAACTGGCCAGTTTCCGGGTTTTTAAAAACTGGCAAGAGAACGTGCATGGGCCGCAATGAGTCGGAATAAAGCAAGTCGACGTATTCTTTTTGCGCGTATCGGTTCAAGTTGCAGAAATACAAGCCATAGTAAGGTGAGTTGGTGGGGTAGTGAACGCACGGTACAACGTCGACTGGACGACGGCCACGTTTCTATAACAAAAAAAAATACAACAATTAGAATATGCATTCATACAACTATAGTTCTTCTATGCCTCCCTTCTCCCGTGGATATCGAAAAATACCCAACAGGATAGAGTAAAGCTACTTACGTAGAGAGTCTGGATATTTTGGAAGCGTTGCACAGCATCTTCAACTTGATCCTTATCATATCCTTCGATATGAATTTCCTAATGATATAACAAAGTCAATAACTGGTAGTAGGGACTTCTTGGACCATTTTTTTAAACTTCTTCTCAAAAAGTACCCGTCCTTTCAAAACGCATTCGGTTTCCGTAGCCTTCGCGACTTCCTTCAAATTATCAGTGGCCTGCAGGTTGGGACCTGGTCGACCAGTTATGACCTCTTGCGGTTTGGCGATATTCTTTGAAAACTTGAATGTGGCTTTGTAAACTTCGACATCGCTTTCATTTTCGGATAGCGCGTCGTAGATATCGATTTGCCCAATCTTGGTCTTGACCTCGTCGAGAGCTTCCAGATCTAATGGTCTGCCCACAAGTGCTTTCTGTTGCTGCTGCTGCTGTTGTTGTTGTTGTTGTTGTTGCTGTAAGCTACCGTTGTTAAGAGCAGCATCGAAGTTGACAGGTGACATAGCTCCTTCTGGGAGATCTGAGTCGCTCGTAGCAAAACGCATCAACCTTCTGGCCGCTTCTTCCTCGATACTGGCCAAAGTGGCAAATGTTCCCTTCGTCATGGTCTCATCAATGGTTTCGTTCTGTTTAAAAACACGGCTTTTCCAGTCAATAATCATACAATACTAATGTATTTCTTAATCATCCCCCTCCTCCCTGTTGTCTCAAATATCACTTGGATACAAATGAGTGGAATGTATAATTTACCAGCTTGGGAAGCAAACCGCTAATCAACATGGCGGCACTAAAAATTCGAAATTCTGTCTGTAAGTAAGCAACCACACACATCACAAACATATAAAGATTTCTCACGTTTTTTGACAAGACTCATACGCCCGGCCGGTGACGTCGAAAAACTGCAATAAAGAAAAACACGAAAAGTACATGTGGTCAGTAAAACGACAACCAATACGATAGCAAACCGGCGTGTTCATTCTTGTAGCTATTATCACTGCTCAGTCTTTTAAACGACACTGAACAACAACATACCTGAGCATTGAGATCGAACTCAATACTCGTTTTTGATTGTTCGGCCAAGGCTCTACAAGTTTTAAGAAAAAGAAGCGAGGCAATTCAAAACTAGTTGGTGAAACATGAACGGTACTCAATTGATAGCTGGTGTCTTTCTCTTTTGACGGTTACCCAATTCTTTTTTTGTATTTGTTATATAGCTCTTCGCTAATGTATGCAAATGGGTAAACCTTGATGCTGGCTAAAAGAGACAAGTGAGCGTTTTTTAATACGTGAGCAAATGAAAGATATAATGATAGGTAAGCTTATATAAATGGGGTAGTACACACCTTCTGGTGCCATTGTCGTTGGTTTGACACAGAAAGGAAGAAGAACGAAATTAAAAAAGATTTGTGCTTGCACTGCCTGAAAGTACTTCTTAACAACACCGCTCTTGTATTTGACGTGCAGTTAAATAAAATCGGACCTTGGTCCTCTAAAAAAAAAGAAGCCATTAAAGTTGCATGAGCACTTTCTCCTGCTTTCTCAATACCCCCCCTCTTCCATTTATACACATGCCACGCTATTTATTAATTCAATTAACAAGTTCATACGAGTGTGGACAAAACATTGAATGAAAGCTAGGATGCAGACAATTGCTATAGTACTGCGAGGAACTTACAACGGCTTAGTATACGCCTAGCATGGTCTTGGTACTAGCTGTACCCGAGAACTATAAAAGAAATAAGCTATGTGTTATGTTTTCAAATCATTGCTTTAGCTGTTAGTAACCAAGAAATGAGAGAAAAAACCTAGTGGTCTTAGTTTTAGTCGCCATAGTAGCACCTTGTTTAAATGCGTCCTTTCTACGCTAGTACATACACTGTAGTATAATAGCAGCGCATTTGATGCATAAGATTGCCACATACCGCTTTTTTGATGAGAGACTTTTTTTGGAAGAGAAAAGCTAACGAAGTTGAAAGAATCCAACGATTAAATATGTAAATGAAAGCTCAAGCCGCGGAGGGTGGGGAGTAAAGTACGAGTGCAATCGTCCGTCGGCGACGTTTGCATCGTAGTATACATCGTCTATTGTCTGGTATTCTGTCCCTAACTCCAATGAGATTAGATTTGCCTTAGATTATTGATAGAAGAGACCTGCTGTACTATAAATTCGGTTATTTTATACAGGAAACATTATATAAGCACTCGCTATCGCCAAAGTAAATCTCCCCGTGAGTCTGTCGAATTCTATTAGCATTGACATCCCAAGAGCAGGTAGATTTATCTGGGCATCACTTGTCGTTGAATGTATAATAGTCGAAACGACGACACTTCATCACTCACTTCCAATTTCACACATATTATCTGCGATATTTTATGGACACCATTTCTTTTAACATAAAAGTCGTTTTTTACTCTTCTGCAATACAATCTCGTTCATTTCTTATCTAACAACCGCATATCTGATATCATATGCAGTAATTTAATAGCAGTTTATAAACACTTATGATAGTGCGTCAAACTGTTCTTCACGAATCATGATGAGGCAAGAAAAGTTGAGGGAATTCTCGCGTTCTATTTAAATGTGTGCGCTTGTTTGACCTTTCGCATATGTAGTTCTACATACGTACTATTCTGATTGACGTATATACCGCAAAAAGTAATAATGTTTCAGGCGTTTGCTAAAATATGCGCGCATCTATTCCCCCTCCTGCATATTGAGGCAGTACTACATGCATACACATACACACTCATATTTATACATTCACAATATGCAAGTACGCCTTTTTTTCCTTTCAATCTTCTTTCTCTTAGTATATCATGGAAGAATGTCCAATAGAGAAAAGCACTGCCATTCAGGATAAAGAAATTAACTTATCCTCCAGAATCGAAGAGCGTAAAGTGATATGTAAAATTAACCGTGTGGCCGTTCCGTTCATGCTTTTAGCAATGTTTTTTCAGGTAAATTAGAACTATTATATATAAAATTTGACGTTTCCTCATATTGTACTCTGCACCCGCTGTAGTACTATATTCAGACATCCATCGTCCGTACTTGCGATCATTCATCAATAAATACCATATATCATACATACTAAATAGAAACTCGATCATATGACTTTAAATCTCTCTGCTATGCTCGGTATTTACGATGATGTAAATATCACGCACAACGAATTTGGTATAGCAGGCTCTTTATATTACCTGGGTGAAATATCATTTCAGGTATGTATCTTAATATTGCTATAATGTTGTTGCTTATGTATACAGTACGATCTTCTTCGTCGGCCGCTCGTGTGCATCTGGATTGTTTAAATACGTACTAACCATGGATAGTAGCTTGTGGTAGTCTTTTTCCTTCAACGGTTTTCACTTTCTCAAGTGATGGGCATACCGATGCTGTTTTGGGGCACAAGTATGATCGGATCGTCCTTTGCAACCAACTTTGCACAGTTGGGTGCATGTCGGTTTTGCTGGGCGTTTTTGAAGCGTTTACGTACCCCGCTCTTTTTCTCTTTATCAGAACACACTATCGACGATCCGAACAGGGCACCTACCTTGCGCTTGTATATGCTGGACTTTGTGCAAGTATTATATGCGCATCACTATTTACATATGGAATCGCACATATAGGAAGTATGTCAAGAGGGCATGTAAAAAAAAGATCACACTGTATGATATACTGTATACTGAACGTTCTTTATTTGCTCAAACTCGGATAGACACTGAGTTTATGCATGGACGCGGTAGCTGGTCATGGTTGGTGTATAGTTCCGCTATTAGGATAAAATACTCTTTGATTAAATTAAAAAAAATTATATTGTTGATGTTTTTAAATGATGTTATATTATACTAGGTCTATGCTCCTGTATGGTATTGCCACTGCTTGTTTTAGCGTGTTAATCATTTTATTTTTACCGAACACACCTTACAGCAAGCATTTTCATTTAACTACCCGTGAAAAGGAAATTGTTGCGGCTCGGATTGCTGACAACAAGTTTTCCAGCCGACCTACCAGTATCCAATGGGATCAAATCGCGGAATCTCTCAAGGATCCTTGCTTCTACAGCTTATTCTTGCTTAGTTACCTATGCAATCTACCAAATGGGGCCATTAATGTGTTTAGCTCACAACTTATCAGGGATCTTGGTTTTTCGGTAAGAAAACTCATTATATCCTCTATAATCTGAGGGGTTTTTTTCACCGTATTATATTGATTATGTACTACACAGGAGCTCGACTCAATTCTTTTGAATATTCCACGGAGCGTATACGAAGTTATGTCGTATATTCTATTCGTAATATGCACAACCAAAGTACGATGGTGCAGGAACCATATTGCATATACCAGTGGTTTGCTTAGTATAATCTCAACACTATCTGTTATGCTACTGCGTGTTATTCCTGTCGGCAAGGCGCCTATTGTCCGGCTTTTCGCGCTTACAATCATTCCAACGACGTATTCTACGCTTGGTGCACAAGTGTTGATATCCACCAACATCGCTGGCAGAACCAAATTGATTTTCTACACTACAGCAATCACTTTTTCCAGTACTTTGGGCCATTTTACAGGCCCACTGATGATGGCGGGTCGAGAATCTCCTTCTTACCCTAGCGCCTTGACGGGATATATTGTCGCTGACGTTCTTACAATCCTCTTATTCGTTCATGTGGGCTGGTCGCTCTCAAGAGAAAACGAACGACGGTTACAGCAGCAACAGAACCATCATCAGCACAGTGAACAAGATCAAGAAAGTTCCCTGCAACTACAACAGCACACTCAACATGGCAATGAAGATACGGGTGATAAAGATGACTTGACGGATGTTCAACAGCCCTATTTTGTATACAGACCATAAGAACTTAATATAAGCATCTATATGATAACACTGTACTTATAACAGTAAACACAGTATTCAAGCACACATCCTAATACATACTATACGTTCGAAAAAGCTGTTTCCAAGGAGCTTCAATATAATGCATTTCAGTTAAGAACCTTAACATCAAGAGCAAAAAAGAAGAAAGACAAGCGCCCCTCAGAGCATGAGCGCATTGTAATGTGGTTTAATGAAAAATGTACATCTACAATGTAGATAACTGTATAGAACAACCTGGCATGTGCACAAGTATAAAAATCTATATATCATATCATATACAGATATTTAAAACGGTTGTGGAAAGGATCGCCTACAGCATATCATAGCAATATCGGCAACTGTGCAGGTCACTACTACAGCCTTTAGTAGCATCTAATATCCGCAGTGCTACATAGCCAGTCTGTAAGAGATACTGGTCCAATATTATGAGATGTATTATCATACCCTATGGCTAATGGCGGTTGGCGCTTGTGCTGTATGCATCTGTGCGTGTGTCGTATACTGTGCGGTAAGTGCATGAGAGAGGAGATACTGGCGGTGTCATTTGTGTTGTGTCGTATAGGGAGAGCCGAGGGTTTGAGAACGACGCGACTTGGATCTGCGGGACGGGCAATGGGATGGTATGCGATCGGGCGTGGTGATCTGAGCTTTGTGATGTACCATCATCTGTTTGTTGTAGGTAGTCCAGAATCAAAACATCGGCAGATATATGTAATATATAACAAGGCAGAGCTTTGGCGACGATGATGGTATGTACATTCTTTTGGGTTGTTCAATTGATAACGAGAGAGGCAACATGCGGTTATGGGCTATTACTGGTATTGCATCATAAATAGCTAACAATAAAAGCCCTTGATGCATCCCTTGTAGCAACTTCTTTCCCTTGCGGAAGCTTGAAAAAGAGGCCGTTATAACGTATGGGATTTCTGGCTAGAATGTTCAAGCCATTTTAGTCATGGATAGATTGAACATTTGGATCAATGGAGCAAGAGGGACACAATATTGGATCAACGAGCAAGAAGAAAAAATTGATACTAACCAAGGAACTCTCTTTGACATCATCAATCACATGGTCATAATCCTTCTACAAACATGATTAATGGTAAGTTACTTTCTACATTGTCTGAATGACGTATGCGTTTCGGTTGACGGATCATCTAACGCTATGTTTGTATTGATCTTGCACGGAAATCAGCAAACAAAAAGAGACAAGGATGAAGCTACCGACGCGTTCATCTACGCATATACAGTGTGATTTTCCAATTCATGATGTTACCCTCCCAAACCCCCAAAGTAACATGCAGTATATACGAAAGGTATGTGAGGATCACAGTACAATCTAGACGTTTGTAGCCATTACATCAAGTTCGAGGGATTCCTTGGCCATGTCTGCGCTCCATCATTGATATCCCAGCGTATGATAATAAAATTGATATATACTTCCATACAGTAAATCTACATATATTGAATTCCTTGCATCATTATTACGGATTTTAACTGATACGTTTGTCAAGCGTCGTTATCGGTAGCCTATAAAAGAAGCTGCTGCATTGTACATATCTTTAAAATGCTCTGTTGAGGTGGCAAATTTAATCGATCTTATTACGCAACTGTGAGTAAACTGCAATTGCGGTTTTCCTTCAATAAATGAGTTGATGCATTTCTTTATTATTATCTACCATAAGGAGCTCTCGTGCATTAACGTGTATAAACTTCTTTATGCTCTTTTAAGATGTAAGAGATAAAGCAAAGATAAAAATACGGTATCTTCCTTTGTTATGATACAATGATCTGCATTATAGTACTGTTAAATGAGGACTACATTATCGCACAATTACTTATGTGGTGCTGTATATAGTGCGAATGATAAATGCTGCCTAGAAGCCCTGGTAACTGTCGTAAAACGGACGCTTCGCAGATGAACATCATTTGTTACGATAGAATCATTCGCTGCCTCCTACTAAGATGGACCCGTCATCCATCAAACAGAAAATGTAAAGTATATAACAATCAGCTATATGATGGACGGGCTATATAACTTAAAAATAGTTTTTCGTTTCAATTATACATGCAAGTGATATCATATGTATACAATGTATCGCAAACAATTTGAAGAAGTGCAATGTGCATGTATGTATAGTTATGTTCTTTCTTTTACGACAAAGTGTACATAGTAATAATCCTCGTACCTCACTTTTACTTTTTTAAATATGTTAAAAAAAGAGCAGATCCTGACTAAAATAGTACGAAGGGGCAAACACATCGAATATTTTAAAAAAGTAGACAATACATACAAGCTGTCGCAGTCCGTTCAATTCTTTTTCTCCCCGCCCTCTGCCATCTGCTTGACGGATAAAATTCGCCGCCTAAAAAAAACCAACAACATCGCCCATTCGTTTTCTGAGACAAACACAATGATCCCAGCACGATTGGTTCGTCAAACCGCCTCTGGAACCAAATACGTGACGATCCCATCACCCTCATCACTGTCGGCTGCTACTTCCAACACACCAACAATATGCTTCATCCCAGGATACCGATCCGAATTCATGGCATCGCATAAAAGCCATTTGGCGTATGATATTGCCAGACGGCTCAGATACAGATTCATGGCATGGGACCATCATCCAGTTGATGGATCTGTTCAACAATGGTACGAGGCCAGTTGCGAGCTTTTGGCAGCTGAAATACAAGATGGTGCTTCTGGAGACCGAAACAATAATGTCGTCTATCTCATCAGTTCCAGCATGGGTACCTGGCTATCCTTATTACTTGCTCGGCGATTCTCACATAATGTGCGCGGAATATTAGGCATTGGCAGCGGTGTCGACTTTACCGAGAGATGGTTACAAAATGAAGTTCCTGTGGACCACCGGTGCGACCGTACATATGTATGGAAGCGGCCCTCACAGTACGATCCATCGGGCTATTATGCAGTGCCGGTTGCTAGCTTGCTTGATTCTCGACCAATGTTGATTATGGACAATGATAGAAGAAACCTGCCGACACTGTCAAATTGCCCCATTACTTTGATTCATGGTGGTCAAGATGTCGATGTGCCGTTATCACTTGCACAAGATCTGGCGCGAGAACTACAATTGCACGGGAACGAGGTGGTGCTGGATATAATAGAAGATGGAGATCATCGACTATCGAGGCCACATGACTTGCAGCGGATAGGAAAACGGGCGATCGGCATGGTTGCAAAGGGGGAAACCCTCCACAAAATGAAACCGTAGCAGATAATGCCATATTTGGAACCTTATTCCGTCCCTCTCCCTCTCTCTCTTTTCTTTTCTTCAACACTTTCTTTTTTTATAAAGTTTGTTTTCTGCATTGGACCGTTGACTACAACTATCGTAAATGGGTTTGAAATACCGGGTTTACTTGGAAGGCAAAAAAGTGTACGGATGCTCTAAATGCCGCTCTCACTTGTCCACCAGTGACAAAGTCATGTCAAAGGTACAGATACCTGCCTTTCTACAATTCCTAACGTAATAGTTAGCTCATCTTTTTTTTGTTGCCGCCAAATAACTTAGGAATTCCAAGGCCAGTATGGCCAGGCGTATCTTTTCTGTGGAGTGTAAGGTGTATTGTTGGAGGTACTTTGAGAGGTCGCCGTTTAACTCACAAAAGGAAGGAAATGATTGTATATAGCGTCAACATTGAGGAGGGCGAAGAGCAACAGGAAAGGTATGATAAGCATATAGCAGGATAGAGTGCCCATTATGTATATTCAAGCAATAGCTGACTTGACTTGTATAATTTGTAGAACCATGACAACAGGAAGGCATCGTATTGCATCCATAAGCTGTGTCCGCTGTGAAACGATGCTTGGATGGAAATATGTGAGCTAGTGTTACTTTTGCAAAACATCATGAAGTCGATTACTCAAGGTACAATACAATTAACACATGATAGATCAAGGCGTACGATTCGCAGCAAAAGTACAAGGAAGGAAAATATGTACTAGAAAAGAACTTACTCCGGCTCGTCGATTAGCTTTCTTCACCGTCCCCACATCCCATCAACCAAACGCTGAAATCCATAATCCAGTCAGTCTAAATCGGACAATACACACTACAACATCTACCAAATCTTTCAACACACTCTCTGGAAAGTCACCCTACCAAACCCAATCCAGTCTAACCATTTAATCCAGACCAAACTGTACATATCATTCTCTCTCGTTTACTCTATTTTGCATAAATATGTATATTTTATTTTGCTGTTGGAAAAACACTTTTCTGCCGTCAATTTCGTTTGCTTCTACTTGATCTTGAACGAGAGCGAGAACGTCTTCTCGGAGACCGTGATCGATTATGACGACGGTGATGACGACTAGATCCATGACGATGATGACGAGAGGATGAGGAAGATTGTCGCCGTCTTTTACTGCTAGGACTTGTGGAACGGGATCTTCGTCTCGATCGCTTTACAAATGGACTTCTCTGTCTTCTTCGCTGTGGATGTTTGTCATCATCCCCGCCACTGCCAGCATCTGATGGACTGTCGCTGCTCGGTGACCGATAGCGTCGTTTCTGTCGATCCCGACGAGAATGGCTAGGCGATCGGTCAGATGTTGATGAACTGCTCGGCGAATAATATCGACGCGGACGTTTTTCTGGCGAAAGTTTCCGTCTTGAACTTTCTTCTTCGTGTTGATGCGTTCGTGATGATGCTGGATCATCATTCTTCTGTGACTCCTCGCGTTCGCCTTTGTAAGAGCTTTGAATGATGGTTAATTCCCTTTCGCGCTCTTGACGTCGCTTTTCACGATCATCCGCATCGACTATTTTATTCAAATTGAGAGGTCAATAAGAGAAATTGGAGGTCGAAATTATCCGATGCTATTCTGCTTACTTTGATTTTCTAATCCTGCACGCATTTTCAATTTAAGCTTTTCCATGGGCGTCAACTTCTTTGTGGTGTCTTTTGCAGCTGGTGCTGGTGCTGTTTGTTGAAGATCTCTGGTGGATGATGACGATGATGATGGTATCTTTCTTCTACTTTGCCGTTTTAGAAAGATACGTTCATTTGCATATGAGGATTTCCTAATACCTTTCTCGAGCACGACTATCGCGTGATGGCTTGGACGATCGCACCTCTTTGTTTGCTGTTTCTTCTTGCTCTGGAATATTGGATGAGGATGATGTGCCAAATTCAATAACGACATCGGATTGAGTAGTATTTGCATCCTCTTCAGCTGAAGATTCGCTATCGGAGCTGCCATTATAAGGTTCATAAGTAGGGCTTGATCGACCATTTCTATAATTTTTATAGATCGATAGGTAGTTTAGATACATATTGGGAACTTGCAGCATATACTAAACAAATCATGCAGGCATTTTTGATACCTGGAAGGGCTCCCTCGGCCATAGCGCGAACGTCTCCGTCTCCTACTGCGATCATCTCGTGAACGTCGACTACTGCCACCTTTATCCTTTGATTTCCCTCCATCTCTACCCTTTATTAATCACATATAGCCAGTTTAGTAAGCAGATAATCATGCAACATGCGTTGAATAAGAAATCCCTTTGTCTCTCACCTGCTTTGCTTTCAATTCTCGAAGCTGTTCGTCACGGTCCCTTTTAGTCATGCGTAAAAGGCGGGTATAATTGCGGATACCAAACTTGCCCGCCATATCATTCAAGATCATTTTGTCTTTGTCAGTCAGCTCGTCAACATATTGGAGAATATCCGCCTCCTTCAGTAATTGTGATTCTTCCTCGTTGTCCATTTCATCATTGGTTGCAGCCGGCGTGCCATAATCAAATGCATATCCTTTTTCTGGCTTCCTATTATTGTTCAACATTGCCAAAAGTGCCTTGTGTCGCTCCAGCAGCTTTGTCCATTCTTCTTCCACTTCAGTGAGTCGTTCTTGTTCAGAAACTACATATAAAAATAAATAGTTTGGTTTAAACTCGTTCATTATCTATTGCTCATCCACTGTCCTTTGAGTGTTATTCTACCTCCTAAGCGTTCGGCTTCTACCAGGTCATGATACCGTTCAAAATTCAACTCGTCCATCATGTGCTGTTCTTTATTGGGAAATCTTTGCTTTGTCTGTTTCTCAGGCACAAAATCTAGCAATGACCGGCCATCGAATCTAAATAGTAACAACAGTCTCTTATGATGAGAAAAGATCACATGCACACGCACATGCAAAAAGTTTCTGATTCAAAGGTTCTGCGGTATTCCGTACCTGTCAATTCGGATATCGGTATTGCCTTGCCATGGCATACTAATATCATTCATATTCTGTGAGTTCCTCCGGTACATGCCTTCTTCTCCAGCGCCCTTCTTCACTATGTGTGAGAGTCGCTGACAAAACGGGGACTCACAGATTGTCTTGATTTTCATGGTAGTAGTATTGTTCAGCATCAGGATACAGCTTTGTCGATGAGCCGATCACTCGTAACAGCTGCTTTGGATCACCAAGCTATACATAACATAACAAACAACCAACGCATTTGTAAACACATACGTCCTCTCCAATCTTTCTTAGATGTAGCAGAAGTGTTTAAAAAAAGCACAAACTACAATACCCGCGATTCATAGAATGCGCGCCTGCGTTCGGCACGCTTCTTGTGATCGACCATAATCTCCTTGATCTAGACACGCAAACCGTCCAGTACCTTCCATTAGCTCAAAATGTACGCGTACATTCAATCGTATAAAGGAGTTGAAAGACAAAGATCTTCGAGTAAACCTTTTTCTCATTGGCTCGAGCTTCGTGCCACATTTTGTAGTTTCAAAAAAGAAAGAGTGTTGAACTGAAACGCCAACGTAAATCTCTAATAAGCAAATAGGAAAAAAAATGCCCACACATACGGTGCGGTTCTTTAAATAGAGTCAACTTGTTAAAAAAAAGTCAACTTCTTGTTCTTGTTCTTCTCCCTCCCCCCCCCCCCCCCCCGCACTTTTTTTACGTCGTTTCCCTCCCCCACCCTTTACTCCATTTTGTTCCTTTACGAAATGTCGTCCTCTCCGACATACCATGCCGTCCCTGTCAGTGACATTCCTTCTTCAGCAACAACAATAGCACCTATCAAAAGGGGTCGGTCTATGCTAGCAGCACTTATGCTTGCTATCTGTGTGGTTTCGTTTGTTCTGCAAACAGAGCTTGCACAATACGTCCAACGTACTACCAATTTCTCAAAACCTTATTTTATTCTGTACGTATTTTTACTTTTATTTTCAGTAAAGGATAGTGTATATTAGAGATCATGTATATTATAATGCGCAAATACAAGCTCGTATTTGGGACAAAGAAAAAGAGAAGGAAACAGAATATTTTCTGTGTATTTCAAGAAGGCTGCTTGCTCTCTTTCTCTCATTCTCATGTGATGTCAGGGGTTGAGGGGTGTGTGCAAAGAGAGACAAAACAAGTTAGAAAAGTCAAGAGGCGTAAGAGTGATTCTGTCCAAGTATTACTTACTAATATTTGTTTGAAAATCAAAACATCATCAATGTACATTCGATATAGATATATTAGCCATTGCTGCTATGTATTTATGGCCCCAGTGCAGTTTATAGGCGAAATGATTGCACGTTACAAGAGCCCGAGCAAAGGCTTGGTAGAGCTAGCCAAAGATACTGCACGGGAATGTAAACTCGAGCTTGAACAATCATTGGAAGATTTACAGCACCAAGTGGTCGGTAGCAACGATAACAGCAAACTATCTCGCCTTCGGTTTTCTGTACGCACGGTCATTCTGCTTGCCGTTCTCTTGACGATTCCATCCTATAGTTGGTACGTCAGTGTCAACCTCACCAGCATGGCCAACCTGACAGCCATATACAACACCGGCTGTCTATTTGCCTATCTGTTTTCCATTCTAATGCTGGGCGACAAGCTTGTTCTAACCAAGGTGATTGCCGTATTCCTATGCGTGACCGGCGTCTTCACTATGGCCTTCTGGCCTTCTGACGTTAGCGATGGCCAAGACAAGGCTAGTGACGGATCCGTCGACGACGATGATAGTAACCGGAGCTATGCCGTCTCAGTATTGGGCATTGCTGTAGCAGCATTGGCAGCAGCATCGTACGGATTTTATGAAGTCTACTATAAAAAGTATGCCTCACCACCACGGCCGTCAGTCCTGTTTGCCAATGCGGTTACAACAGGTATTGGCATAACGACAATTTTATTGCTATGGATTCCGATACCAATCTTCCACTGGATGGGCCACGAAACGTTCCAAGTGCCTGATCTACGAACGTTCATGTATATCTTGGGCATCGCATCCATGAGCGTCGTCTACAACGCCACGTTTATGTGCGTCATTGCACTTGTAAACCCCGTCTTTGCAGCCGTCGGCGTAATGCTTACTGTACCCGCTGTAGCCATCACGGATGTCCTTGTGACAGGCGTCATGACCCCACTGTCCACCATCGTTGGAAGCATATTCATCCTCATTGGCTTCTATATCCTCAACCGTCAAGTAAAAGCCACCCAATAAGCTTCTATCATTCCCGTCTAACTATATCCTCACAATCATACACATATATATAAACAGCACAGTAATAAAGGTTGTTTTTTTTAAAACAGTTCAAGTAAAACGAACTTTTTTAATTCTTTTTGCGGCAAAATGTCAAGAAACTTAGTAGAAGAAACCAAGGATCTTGCCACCAACGTGCTTGCGACGGGCCTCTTCGTGGTCCATGATACCGGCAGAGGTGGTCAAGATAACATAACCGAACTGACGCGAGGGCAAAAGGTTGGAGGTCCACTTCTCGAGCTCGGCGATCTTGATGTTGAAGCGGGGCGAGATGACACCACACTTGTTCAAACGACCGTTAAGCTGGATGACGATCTTGCCAGAGCGATGGTCATCGATTTCCTCGAATTCGCCAATGTAGCCTAATGATTAACGAAATACATCATTAGTATAACCATACTCCCAAATAAAATATGAATAAATATTGAGAGGGGTGGATAAAACATGTATCACATCTATTATCACATCCACAACATATTAAGTGTCGCGCACGCGGCATTAGACGAGAGGTGTTATTCTTCCGCATCATTAAAGGTCAAAAAGGTGAAAAAAGCCACTTTCAACCAGTTATATACGGGTGTGTATGTATGTGTGTATTATATGGTGATTCTTAGGGTATGGGGGTATAAGGTAGATAGAGAGATTGCGTCCCGGTTCAGGGCAGTATGAAATCATTCTACTTACCATGCTTCTGCATGACAGACAAGAACTTGACAATGACTTTGGAGGAAGGACGGATCAAGACCTGGCGCTTGCCACGGCGTTCAGCGTTGTTGATGCTGTTCAAGCAGTCGTTCAAAACAGAGGCGCGGACCATCTAATAGTGACAAGGACAGTTTAGTTATTATCGACGTACGCTCGAATGAGTGTCGTCCCCGATCCATGGATTTTGGAAAGGACGATTCATAAAAGCATCGCCTTGTATGCGTCTCAAGCAAGTGGCTTCCATCTACAGTATGACGAGCATGTAGAGAAAGCGTTGCAAGTGACTAATGTATTTG